GATGCTTGAGGACATCTAACCATCCCGCTAGTGTTTTTTAAAGAAGTAGTTTCTAATAAATATGCTCCATTATCATATTTTATTCCATGATATGTTTGAACATATCTTTCCCTTTCCTTTGTGTTTTTTACTAACCATATGCGTAAGAACATCGGGACTTTACTATTTCCATTTTTATTAAAAAGGCGTAATAATAATAAAGATATGTTGTATGCGCCTTTAAAATCCGCCCAAATCCACCAGAAAGTATTTTGATTAATCTAAAATCCCTGTACATTTCGTGCTTGCTTTTAAGGTTCCGTGCCTCGACTTGTCAACCCACACTTCACACTGACTATAATACGGCTACTTATCCATTAGACTGTACTGTTCTGTTTATAATATAATTACAAATACAAAGAATTCCAGGGATTTTTGTTCATGCGCATACATCCGATAAATTACCTTTCCAGTATGTAATCTTAAGATTAAAGGGTTCCAAACGAATGTCAGATTTATTTGGGTAATGCAATCCTGATTCCTCAAATCTTTTCATAATCACCAGTGTTAAATGTATATTGATAGTGAAAATTGTAAGTAACTGTATTTTATTGCATTGAGAACCTTGTATTTCATTCAATATCTTAAAATCGTATGGCAGAAGGTCTGATATGAGAATCAAAATATTGATTTAACTGTTAATACGATATGACCAACTCTAAAGTAGTCTGGTCAAACATTTTATTTCACTCCAGGGATGAAATATGTCATGTGAACTGTGCAGCAGACAATAGAATAATAATGAAACTCGACCAAATGCACCTGTGATCATGTATATATTCATGTTCTATAACCAGTCATTTACTAGTACATGTATTACTAGTATTTCATAAGTTACATTTATGGCTAAAAACACTATATATTATGCTGTGCCGTTTTAAATGTGTTTGTGTGTTGTCTAAAAGGAATTACATATACTATTGTATGCATAGAAATATGTGCACTAGGAAAACTCGTCCTAGTAGTAAAGATATCGGAACTGAGATAGAAACTTCGGTGAGATGTGACTGCATATTCATACATCCCACATAGCCAAATGAAAACCTTCCTCTCTTGGGTTTGCTGCCGGACAGAAGAAATCCAGGTGATCATATTTCTTTACCCAAGACATCCCTAGGAACGATAAATAATTACTTGCGATAACTGATCCTCTGTTATTTAGAAAGCCCTTAAATTTAAGTATTATTCCAGTTTTAACAAATTATCCCACTGGAAAGTTCTCATAAAGATTTCCCAAATTAACTTATTGTAAAATCTTTAGGTATCGTCTGCACCGGCCAGAACAAGATGATATTAGTAAGAAAAGGACGATACATTATTATCATCTTGCTTTTATTATTTTTGGTAAGGGATTATCTGTATTCTTAAATATTGACAACTTTTTATTCATCAGTACTGATGATTTTAAAGGAACTGCATACTGCATGTAACAAGTCTTTTTAAGAAATGCAGGTATTTGCAACTAAACATAATACACATATCGTGAATATAGGCATCAGATAAATAGGTCCATTAAAAACATTATTACAAAGCGGTTTCAAAAACACACATGTATTTCAAAGTTTCGAACCCAAGCTAACGGAATTACATACTATGGATAATTGGTAAGATAAAATGGCAAATGGTGTAGTGTGCAATAATGACTTTGCATGTATAGTACGTTACTATTTTATAATGCATGTAAGACTATGTGATCATATGACAGACCTTAAAGTTCAAAGGTTAAGGATACAAATGAAAGGGCGTGAATGTATTTTAAAACATCAAATGATGCATTATTATGAATATGACAGCAAAAGGGGGCAATTGATGGAAGTGATATTATACATCTATCAAAGAACAGTTCCATCGATCGACATGAACGGTGTAACCTATCTAATAATAATCTTATCAGTAAATACAAATGTACAAAGGATAAGATCTCATATTTCAAAATAGATTTGACAACAAAAGGTTTTCCCAACAGTAGGCGATTTGTTTGTGAATGTGTTTAAGTCATTTTCATAGTCAAATAAACCATTACGTCAAAGATCAGCGAAAAATGGCATTCAATTTCATCAGTGGATTGGAATTTTATCAGTAGATAATTTATCATATTTAGGAAATGAAACATTTACAGTAGAACATCTGGAAATCTTTTGATTTACTTGTCATAAAGTTTTATCTTAGAGAGAAAAAAATATTGAAAAATATTTCAAATATTCCAAACCAAAATACGTTTTATGATATATGTAAGAGTGTATCGTAGTAACATTTGGGTTAAATACGATTATCATTAACATTTTATTGGTTTTTGATTAATTCCCAAATGTAAAAGAACTGATAGCATGACCTCACAGATTACAATTGCAATTCGGTCTTAGAAATTTATAATGTTCTCCTACATGAAACATTATGTCAGATTAAAATATCGAATTATTTAGTTTTATCCACGTTCTCTATTTTGAAAATATATACAATTCATGTAATCCGTCTTTCATATAGTGTTCATCATGCACTCGTGCGATAATTCTATTGGTTTTTATACGCCCGTTTACGGGACGTATTATGATATACCGTTGTCCGTCCGTCCGTTCGTCTGTCCGTCCGTAAGTCAATCCGTCCGTCGTCAATATGTCGGACAATAACTCAAAAACGTTTTAACCAATTTGCATGAAACTTCGGTGAATTGTTTATATCTATTGACGTGAGCTCCCTTTCGATTTTATAAATTTTGGAATTTACGTTTCCGAGTAATGGGGTTTTATTCATTAAAAAAGGGGGATTTTCCAGTTTTCGGACAATAACTCAAAGTTCTTTGAGCAGTTTTCAGGAAACTTTGGTGACTGGTTTATATCTATTAAAATAACCTCCCTTTAGTGTTTTTTATAAATTTCTGATATGACATTGAGGAGTTATGGAACTTTATTCTTTGAAAACGGGACGGGCGTATCATGCGCTCATGGCGCAGCTCTTTATTGATTAATTCCCAAATGTATTTCATTTAATATATATATTCTCAAAATATTCATTTAAAACCTTTACAAGGATTAATGATGGAACATGTATCGTGCAAGGATTAATGATGGTACATGTATCATACAAGGATTAATGATGTTACATGTATCATACACGGATTAATAATGTTACATGTATCATACAAGGATTAATGATGGTACATGTATCATACAAGGATTAATGATGGTACATGTATCATACAAGGATTAATGATGGTACATGTATCATACAACACAAGGATTAATGATGGTACATGTATCATACAAGGATTAATGATGGTACATGTATCATACAATACACGGATTAATTATGGTACATATATCATACAAGGATTAATGATGGTACATGTATCATACAATTTTTTGGTAAATTTATAATGCTAAATCCTTCAAAATACTACATACTACTTTGGAGCCTGTGTGAATATTGTTAATTTCATTGTCAAGTATTTGAATCATGTAACATATTGCTTCTTTATTTATTATTCGTAACAAACAGTAGTAGTTTAACACCCCCCCCCCCCTTTTTTAGCGATACAGATACCAATGCGTTACTCCCCTCAACCCGATATTTTTTAGTATACAATTCAATGCTTATCAATGAGACATATGGCCACTAGAGATCAAAGGACGATGAGGTAAACAACTATAGAGCACTGTAAGGCCTTCGAAAATGAGAAAAACCATACCGTATAGTATGCTATAAAAGTCCACGGCATGACAAAATGTGAAACAATTTCAAAAAGAAAACTGACGGTCTGATTCTTAAAACAAATAAGGCAGACAGCAACGCTAGACAACCACTTGGTTGTAGGTACCTGAATTGGGAGCGACACCTTAAACATGTTTGTGAGCACGTACCATGTATAAGAGTAGGCTTATATTTTTCATTAAGTTAATACAAGAACAAAAGGTTTTTACCATGCTGCTACTAGGTTTCTCCTCTTTAGCCTTATTATATTCTTGACCAAAAAGGGAGAATACAAAAGAGATATAATGTACATTGAAGTAAAAGTACAGGATTTGCCGAGTCTTTTGTGGGAGACTTTCATCTAAAAAACTCAAGGCCATACAGAAGTTTGGAAACTTAATGATGTTCTCGTTTTCATTATTTATAATTTTGACCACTTATCTACCGTTTTCATTTTGTTGGTATTAACATCTACCTGATTTTCATTCATATATGAACGAATATATGTATATACAAGAATAATGAGTAAATAATAAACAAAATATCGCTTATTTTTACAAGATCCATTATATCATCGAAGTATAAAAGAGAGAAAGCCGACAGAAGGTAAATGTGGGCTAACTTAAACATGAAGCAAACAAAACAATGTCCTCTTAGTGGAATGTTAAATACCATCAGGTATGTCAAACAGACCTTCTTATAGCAAATGCCCATATAATATCACAGTCAAAAAACCGTCTTAGAGGTAAAGACCCCACAATCATAACCAAGAGACTACATAAGACTTAAAATAATGTTTACAAAAACTAATCAGCACAGAATATCTTAGCTCCAATTCAGAACTTTGGACAGATGATTAAAACTGAAAAAAGAAGAGAAATAATAAACTGTATTGGCAGCAATGATTTTCGAACTCAACGGGTTTTTTTTCAAAAATAAAATAGTGTTACAGGTTTACTTTACATTTCATGCTGGGTAGAGCTAAGATGTGACCTGTGACTGACAGTGTTTACAACTTGAAGATACTTACGCAAAGATTCATTAGCAATTAAGGGTAAAAATCAATGAGTTCTGTGCTGCAATATGGTTAACAGGTGACACATTTATCTTGTTTAAAGTACGTCGTTCAGAAGTCAAAAGATACATTACTTTTAACTAACGTCGAAACATAACGATAAAAACATGAAATCACTTGACTTAATTAGTTTCCGTTCAACATGTTTATCAGTGTATATCATTTCTCAAACTTATATCAGATTTACTTATAATTTTGATGTAAATGAACTGCATGGAACAATAATGTTCTATTCTGAATGACAGCCATGTGCCCTCTTCAATCCAAAGAAACTACCGAAAAGTTAAGCTACGATTTTCTTTCAGATAACTCATGCTAATTTTGTGTTAAAGCAAAGGAAAATGGCTTATCGATTCAACTAATTTTCATATCTTATCCAACAACAAAAAAGCGACTTCTGCAGAAATAATGTAAACAGTACTGCACGTGTAACAATATTCAGACCACAATGATGCATACAATCACTATTATACTTTCAGCATTAGTTTTGTGCTCTGGACTAGACAATAATCCGATACGTAATACAAAATATGGTCAAATTCGCGGGAAAGTGACAACGCGACTTCCGGGAACAGAAGTAGAAGAATTCCTTGGCATACCATATGCAGCTCCGCCTATTAAATCACTTCGTTTTAAGGTAGGTTTTGTTTTTATATGATACATAAACTTTATTAATGTTTTTTATATGCCATTTGAAAATTTCATGTAATACAAAGCGTTTGCTTAGAAATATCATTATACACAACTAAAGTGAAAATGTTCCGGAGAAACTATTACGTAAACTAATTAACTACGTACATTGTATATGTGCAGTACTTGCCTTAAATTATCGATTTAAAAGTTAATGCATGGAGCACACATTTTGTAGGAAATAGCTTATTTTTTCCTTCCGGATGTCTTATAAATATTTCTGAGTGAACAGGCTAATAAATTTCAACAAAAACAATTGAAAAGAGTATATAAACATTAAAAATTACATTTTGAAATACATATGCAGTTCATTTTAAAAGCAAACATTGTTACGATCTTATATCAACTGATAAACGAAAATCTGTTTTACATAACCGTTATTAACTATGGCAGTCTACCTATGCTGAAAAAATGTCTATATTAAATAACTATGAGTTCCATGTTATTATTGCAAAAACTACCAGACACTGTGACTATCTTGTGAGTACAATCCATATTCAATTTGAGGATAAAAATTCTTAAAACTTTTATTTTAAAATTCCTGAATTTTACATCAGTTGTATATAAATGGCTTAATTCAACAGATTAGAACAACTGACATAAAATTAAAAAAAAAACAACAATAGAAAATGTAACTGAATGATCGTTTTCATATTTAAAAATAATGCCACACTAAAGACGTGAAACCAATTTTAAGTGCATATACGTTTAATCCACAAGCAGAATCATCTTGTGAAAAGCCTATGAATCCCTGATAAATTGCAATTGCATGGCTTCTTGTGTGAAGTTCAGACAAACAGTTATAGCTTATTTCTTGTCTTTTACTTAATAAAATGCGTATAGAATGCTCGAATTTACATTTTATACAGATTTTAGATATATTTTGATATAAATCTAAATCAGTACATGTGTACATAGGACACAATGCCCCGTCCACACTATCCTGTCTCATGTTCCTTTAACCGTGATTTTTAATTTGTCGTGTAATTCAAAACGTTCATTCAATGAACATGTGTACTAAGTTTCAAGTTGATGTTACCAAAACTTCATGGTAAATATTTTTACCAAAAACTTTTACCTGATAATGTACTATGCCTTTGTTAGTCTTGTATATTTTTAATTTTAGTTCATTTATATGTTTTGGAGTTTAGTGTGACATCCATTTTCACCGAACTAGTACACAATTTTATTTAGGGGCCAGCTGAGGACCACCTCCGGGTGCGGGATTTTCTCGCTGCGTTGAAGACCCATTGGTGGCCTTCGGCTGTTGTCTGCTCTTTGGTCGGGTTGTTGTCTCTTTGACATATTCCCCATTTCCATTCTCAATTTTAATTTCTTATTATAATACTTTTATGTTCTGTGAACTTTGTAATCGGGCTCAAAATCTTAAGATTGCATACAATTTCAAAAGTTCACATCATAGTGAACATGTGAACATAGTGACAAGTTGATGTGACACAATTCTTGGTAAACTACATTAACAAAAAAAATCAACCTGGTATTGGACGCACTCTCGGACGGACGAATAAAGCAGACAAGAAAACATATACCTTCTTTGGCGTAGCATAATAGTAACTACGAAGGGCATTCCAAACCGAACCATAATTTTTTGAGCTGCATTAAATTTTGGTTTTATGAATACAGTACTTACTCATTTATCACTCATGTATATATGAAAATTACACACATTTATCACCCATGTATATAAGAAAACTACACGCATTTATCACCCATGTATATATGAAAACTACACAAATTTATCACACACGTATATAAGAAAACTACACACATTTATCACCCATAGATATATGAAAACTACACACATCTATCACCCATGGATATATGAAAACTACACACATTTATCACCCATGTACATATTAAAATTACACACATTTATCACCCATGAATATATGAAAACCACACACATTTATCACCATGTATAGATGAAAACTACACACATTTATCACCCATGCATATATGAAAACTACACACATTTATCACCCATGCATATATGAAAACTACTCACATTTATCACCCATGTATATATGAAAACTACACACCTTTATCACCTATGAGTATATGAAAACTACACACATTTGTACATTTTTTAAAAGTGGGCTTTAGCAATTAGTTTTATCATGTAAAAGACCGCCGTTTTAGGGGTTCTGCATAACGAGAGAGCACTGTACTTCTAAAAAAAACATCGTAAAGTATACTTTTTGAATTCAGATTTTTAAATTCTTGAGGTTTCTTCATCTTTTCGGTTATAGTCAAAAGTAAATGTGACGTTATCTCCAGTATTAAGCTGCCCTTAAATTGCGGTACGTAGGTTTCCCGTAACAATTGAAGTTTTGCGAAGACCTGACTACTTTCTTTCTAGCACTTGATTTCATTTACTATGGAGTGAACTAGCTTTACGTAAGTTAAACATACTGCCGTTAAACTTTATGCATTGCAACCCTTAATAATAAAAATGCGTTTTGGGCGAAGCTCAAATCATAAAATCGATAATGTTGTTAACATTTACGCAGTTAATTAGTTTTACTAGTGAAATGCATAGTTCCGCCAATTTGTCATATTTTTGTAACATTTATTTTTTTGCACTGAAATTGTGAACCATTGACTGTTCTTTTTTATCAGTAAGCAAAACATTGATTTAGAATAAAGGAAGATGTGTAGTATACGTCAATCAAACACCAATCAAGTTCTGCACTGACAGTTAACATTTTTCATATGAAATTAATTATTATTTTTATTCATGTATTCATTTCAGACTATAAGCATGGGATGGGATTTAAAATGATTCTCTCTTCTAAATCAGAAGAATCGATATTTTCATGTCCAAGTAATTGAGTACTGCAATATTACCTTATAGCTGTGTTTGGCAAAACCTTTCGGAATTTTAGGTTCTCAATGCTTGTCAACATCGTACTTAATTTGACCTTTTTTACTTTTTGGATTCGAGGGTCACTGATGAGTCTTTTGTAGACGAAACGCGTGTCTGGCGTACGCATTTTTAATTCTGGTATCTATGATAATTTTATTGTTAGTGTTGATAATTTTCATATTTCTTAAAGCTGGTATAATCTCAACCCTTTTATTTCTTAATTGTATTCTATTTTTAGAGACCTACAGATCCTACACAATGGGACGGCATAATGAACACTAATACAATCCCACCAGCCTGTCCACAAGTTAGCTGGTATTATTTGAGTAAACATAAACCAAACTTCCAGTTATCTCACGAAGATTGTCTGTTTATGAATATATTTGTACCGAGGGTAAGTAGTTCAGTCAACATACTGTTCTTTCAGCATGCAACAATTGTGGCCAATTACAATAATTGCTTATACAAGTAATGAATTCTCTACCGCGTTTTAAATTGCTCAGTATTTTGTTTTCTATGGTGTGTTTTGTAGACTGTTGTTGGTCTGTTCGTCTTTTTTCGTTTTTTTTTTGTCATGGTGTTGTCAGTTTGTCTTTGTAATATCCATTTGTATCTTCCATCTCTTTTCTTTGGCTACGAAGACGTTAGCAAAAACAGCTGCATTAAAAAAAACGCACACATGATCCAGCGTCTCAGATAACAACATTTACGTTTTGGAAAATACCACGGCCGAGACAATAAAAAAGGCATTTTCTTCTGCATATACAACGGCGGCGTTGAGGTATGCACGATATGCATTATTTTTGGGGCCTTTTATAGCTGACTAAGCGGTATGGGTGTGCTCATTGTTGAAGGCCGTACGATGACCTATAGTTGTTAACTTATATGTCATTTGGTCTTTGGAGGAGAGTTGTCTCATTGGCAACCATGCCATATCTTCTTAGTTTTATATTAGAAAATACACAAATAAACGGTATCTATCAACCAATCACAATCCAGCATACGTATGTAAAAAAAAATCATAAGTCCAACAGACAATACCATGGCCAAAAATAAAACCGACGAAAGAAATAACAACAATAGTATCATATAGAAAACTAAAGACTAAAGGTATAACGTAAAGTGTAATTATTCCTAATACTAATAGGTCCTAATACTGCAAAAATCAATAGACAATTAAAAGCATAATATAAGTTAATAAAAGAAAACGTAAAATATATATAAACATGAAGAAAACGTCAACCTTTGGACTTTATACTCATGCATGGGTACAGGTTCCTTTTAAACTATACCAACTTCATACTGATTCCACATAAAAGTGACAAGCGATAATCTGGAGAAACTGACAACATAGGATACATGTGACTATGTTTTATATGTATTTACATCCTGTTTTAAATATATGTTATTCGTTAAGTGATCATTTCCGGTATAGGTCGGTTTATTTGAATATATTGGATTTCCACTTTCGTTTTGATGAACCTTCACCATATTCGTAGAAGTGTTGCATAGAAAAAGGAAGGGATCATGTCAAATGTTGTAGCACTTCTGCCAGCTGACATTTACTTTCCACAAGATTCGATTTCCAATACATTTTCGGAAAAGGGGAAGTATCAAGGAGCAAATATCGGAGCTATTTTAGACAAAGTTGCTTCCGGGAACATAAATATCGATGACTTTATACAAGATATGACTGTCAGTCAAACAGAGTTGAAGAAGGGTCCTAGCACAGTAAAGCGATGGGCTTCAATGAATAACCGATCCTTATGGGTTGTAAAGGAACTGCAGGTTATTGGTAAATTTACAAATCGAAAAGATTTCCAGATAGGGGAGAAGATTCCTGCAAGAATGGAGACGACGAATAATGGTGGGGAATGTGTTGTCGTTCGAAAACGTCCAATATCTGGAGTTTCAGTTAAACCTGCTTCATTTTGGAAGTTCTATGATCAAATGACCGCACCAAAACGACTAGAATTCTTAAAGAACTTTAGTTCTGTTCGATTGCAGAGTAGTTACTTTGCAGAGGATTTGACACCAGGACCTGAAGCAACAGATGACGACGAATTCTCGGAAAAACAGGAATGGTTCTTTCAAGTTAGCCAACCATTTCAACAAGAGTTAGCTACTTTATAAATCGCATCTTAAGAATGAATTGTAATCATTTGCCTGAATACATGTTTAAATACATTTAAATATTCAAAGTTTGACGGTGTTCAAATAAACAGTATGTTCGTGTACTTTAAAATGATGCTCAAATTTTGTGATGGATTTATTAGAACTTATCGTATGTAAACAAAACTGATGTAATTATTTTTTACTGAACAACAACTGAAATTAACCTCTTAAAAGAACAGATTTCGTCAATACTTTGAAGTCTGAATGAAAACAAAAGTAGTGTGGCTTAATATATTTGCAACGCACGTATTCTTACTGTATTTTGTTACCTTTAAAAAAATAAAACTTTATTATGTTTTAAAAAACTTCATATTTTGGAAAATTTGAAATATTCGTACAAGTATTGTGCATAAAGACTCAACATTGAATGGTCTGAAAAGCCAACTCTCTCTCTGCATACAATTGTTTCTTGGAAAATTGGAAAAGTGACAAATTAAATATTAGAATTACAAAGAACCAAACAGATAAGACACTTACAAGGTTAAGTTGCAATTTAAAAAAATATTCATGGCAATCTTCAGTGATAACACATAATATTTGTGCAAATTTAAGAAATTTTTATCTAATGGATAGAAAAAAATGTGATTAATTTTTGGGCAAATTTCTACCATTTTTCGTTTTTTTTTTCCTTTCCGTTTCAATTTTTTTTTTGTATTAGTTCAGGAGACAATATAATCATTTCATAACATGAATGGATGAAAGAATGCAATGTGTAGACACATTATGCATGCCTACCGTCCTAACTAAAAGTGTGTCTTTTACTTTGTAATTGATTTTGCATTGCTGTTTCAGAGTAGGTAAATTGACTGAGTTGAGACATGCTATTGCTCAAGATTAAGGGCGATATGTCAAGGCCCTTAAATTAAAAAAAGCTACGATAGCTAGTTACCTTCAGGTTATTCATACAACTCCTCAAGTATTCAAGGTTTTATTCATCCTTGGCTTTTAATACTCAGGTCATTTAGCTCCTCAAGAATTCAAATATTTATGCATCCTTGATTTTTTTTTTAATATTTAGGATGGATATTTAGGTCCTCAAGTATTTAAATATTCATACATCCTTGGATGTCACGTTCTTTGGTTTTATAATTTATTTTTAGCACCAAGTCGATATTGTTGTTGATGGGCTCCTAGTATTCGAAGAAATCATCTGTTCAAAAGTCAGTGAGGCACTGAAACGATATAACATACCTTTCTTAAATTCTTCGTTGATTAAAATTAGAAATTATAAAGAAAATAGGGTCCAAACTCCATAGACAGAGGTTGCCTAAGATGGATTTTGCCATTTATTTTGTATTCTTTTTGGTTATATAGCTCCTCAAGTATTCAAATGTATTAATATATCCCTGGAAAGTGATTCGAACGCACCAAATTTATAAGGTACAATTTTCATTTTATTTTTTGATTCATTCGGTATTCTTAGTGTAATTTATGTAAACTAGACCATTGAGCGTCCTTTCCAATTGTTTTGTTTTTAGAAGCTTACCATACGATATGGGTATTAAGTGAATGTCTGAGATCATACAGTAACCTTTTTAAATATTTCCCACTTCTTCGTCGGTACAAGCATTCCTCTTACAAAAATACAGATATGGGATGCCCTTCTCTAGTCAAGTGTGGAAACAGAAAGCCTTCGAGAGGACCAACATATTTTGTCAAACCTGTTCTTATAATATTATATTGAAGTTCTTTAAAGGTTGCTATCAATAAGGTTTGGAGTACTTGTGGTTACTAACCAACAGAGCTTCTTCTAATTTTCTCAGATTACGTACAGATAGGTGATATTGGATTTTGTGGGGCATTTTTAGGTTGTTATATATCTTTTTATCTGTTCATTTACTATCATGATTTCCAAGATAGAGGGTTTCTGCTAACAAGTAAGCAATTAAACCATTAGTTCAAAGTGGTGAAGTTGAAACCATCCCTTCGAAATTTTACGGACGAGTTGGTTGACTGTCATATGGAATATCTATTTCACAGATGACGACATATATGTTCAAATTTTCGTAACCAAAGTCCCATTCTCTTTTTCTTGAATGAGATCAACAGAATAAGACTTATCGTCGGTTATTACTAAGATGATCAACACGATTGGTGTAACTTGTGGAGCAGGATCTTCTTATCTTTCCGGAGCACTTAAGATAACCCCTAATTTTGGTAGGATTCGTGTTGCTCAATCTTTAGTTTGAATGTAAACAATATTCTATTATAGAATTATAAAATATATTTTATACAATATAAATTCACTATATGGCGAAAAGGATTCAGAAACAAGCAACGGGTGCTTATATTAATCTGTCTCCTTGAAAGTTTAGTTACTATGTTGTGTTTTGTGTACTGTTGTTTGGTGGATTTTCGTTTTTTTTGTCATTAGATTGTCAGTTTGTTTTCGACTAATCAGTTTTGATATCCCTTTGGTATCTTTCGCCTCTCCTTTAGGCCAATGTCCCTGATCAGTAATGACTAGGAGGATGGTTTGCCGCAGGTTAGTACAGATTTCAATGGTGAATATCAAAAATGAGTTTCCCCCAGATTTCTGAGTTTATTATGGACAGTTAACAGATTTTTTACATTTGTGTACAAAAAGTTTAATGTTTTAAACACGTCTTGAATACATTATATAAAATTATTTCCTGTGTAACATTAAGGTCTATATTCTATTTTTTTCCTTCTTATCATAACCAGAACACTGTTTGAAAAGATATCCTTTCAGACATAAGATTCGTCGGAACGGCACGTTTGAGTGGAGTTAAACATATATATCATCCAAATCTTTATTAGATTTTGTTATATCTTCAGTATTCTTTTAACTCGTAACCAAGCATAATCATTCACGTTTGTAATCTTTTTACTTTGTTAAATTTTGTTAAACATCATTTTCTGTCCTTTCTGCTATGCTCATGGCATATTATGCATTTCTTGTATTTCATAATTGATCAAGATTTATTATCCTGTACTACCCCCAGGCATAGATTTTAGACACAACCATTTGGAATTTTCGGTTTTTAATTTCTTTAATTTCACTGTCAGATCTGTCATTCAAAACCACATTTCAATGAGTGTAACATCTCAGATATCCCAGTGAACCTGAGATAAAGGATACTACCAAAAGTAGACGGTCTACTTCATAACTTGATCTTTTCCTCGATATTGACATAGCTGGATGACTCCAAACTAGAATCTATGACAAACGTGATGATTCCATCTATCCAATTTTCAAACTCCAATTTCTCAGCAGTAAAATATCCTCTGCTCCATCGCACGGTGTTCAAATATCTCAGGTAATATGTTACGCTCGTACATGCTCATATCATCCGAACATTATTGACAGGGGTGTGCTCCTTACACAACAACTGTTCCAACAGAGTTATGAGGAAGAACTACTGAAATCGACACTAACTACGTTTTCAGATCACCTTCACGAATTGGTTGAACGAAACGATGTTTGGTGTCTCAATCCACTAACGGCATGCTTTCGCGGTCTTATATCTTTAGATACTATAATAGTCGTCTGTAATGTTCCCGATCGTGTCCTATTCCAGGATGTTACATTTTGACTAAGTGTGAACTCGCAATGCGGGTAATACATGCATAGCAGGATATGCATTTTTAGCTCACCTGGCCCTTTGGGCCAAGTGAGGTTTTTCATCACTTGTCGTCCGTCGTCCGTCGTCGTCTGTTAACTTTTACAAACATCTTCTTCTCTGAAACTACTGGGCAAAATTTAACCAAACTTGGCCACAAACATCATTTGGGTATCTAGTTTAAAAAATGTGTCCGATGACCCTGTTTGCCAACTAAGATGGCCGACATGGCTAAAAATAGAACATAGGGGTAAAATGCAAATTTTGTCTATTATTTTGAAAACCGTTATAAATAGGGAAAATCTGACCGGAGAAGAAATGTTCAAAATTTTGAGTTCTACCATTTGTCCATATAGGTCAAAACTGTCGGACGACTTCTTATTGGAGTAATTGCCCTTAAATGACAAATTTTACCATTTCTTTTTTCATTTTTGCCTATTATGATGAAAATTTTAATAGATAAAGAGAAACTTTAAAATGCAAAAATGATCAGCAAGACAAGTTCTACAAACAAGTGTGATGGTCGAAATCGTCAGTCGACTCCTTATTAGAGTTATTGCTCTATGATAACGATTTTTACCATTTTATTGCGTTTTTGCCTTATATCTTAAAAGTTATAATGAATAGATAGAAACTTAAATAAGTAAAAAAGATCAGCAAAATAAGATCTACAATTAAGAATCATAGAGGAAATCATCTGACGACTCCTTATTGGAGTTATTGCCCTTTAATGACGATTTTTGTCATTTTTTTTTTGCGTTTTGCCTTATATGATAAAAACTATAATAGATAAACAGAAACTTTAAATCACAAAAATGATCAGCAAGACAAGATCTACTAACAAGTCAAATTTAGCTGATATAGTTAGTAGACTGTCACTCTTTACAGGAGTGATTGCTTAAATGAGAATTTGTGTAACCCTGTTTTGAGCAAAAACTAAAGAAGATAGAGAGAAACTAGACAGACTAAATGATCAGCGATACCAGAACTGCAAAACAGAGATTTTTGTCATGAATTCTATTCTCGATTCTCGTCTACAATGTTGGAGAGTGTCCTTTGTTGAATATGCACATAGACCAAGGTGAACGACACATGCTCTTTAGAGCCAATAATTTTTTAGATTGTTCGAGCGACACTGATGAGCCTTTTGTAGACGAAACACGCGTCTGGCGTACAAAATTATAAGTCTCTATATATATGATGAGGATTGTACACAGTGTCGACGCATACGGTCTCGCTCCTTTTGGAGTTCACGCGATTCCTTCAGTTTTTGTTTGTTAACTTGGTTTGTCTCTTTTAAATCGATTTACGAAAGTTTAACATCTGCAAACTACTATCGCCTTAGTTTGATTCTCTTCATATTTGATATGGATTTACAACTATTTTGATTCGACCGCCACTGATGAGTCTTATGTAGACGAAAACCGTGTTTTGGGGATCGAATTCTAAGCCTGCTATGTTTGACGAGTTTTTACTCCAAATTCCAAGTATCTTTTTTCAGTGACTTCTTGTACAAGTATAATAGTCTAATTTAAAAGACTATTTAAACAAAAATAATCTTACCAAATATAAGGTTTCATACTATATGAATTATTATAGAAATTAAGGACCCAAACCTTTAAAAGAAACTGACCCGTTTCATTATGTATCCAAAGATTTTTTTTGACTGAGGAGCAAATCTTTGTTCTATGTTTTACCTGTGAATGAAAGTCAAATACTCTCTGGATTAAAAGTTTGGTAAAATAAAAAAGGAGCAAAAATCAAAAGGACCTGAAAGAAGGAAAAACGTTAAAGGTTATTTTTTTCAGAGGGAGCAAAAAAAAAAAACACCGAGTACATACGCTTATTTAAAATCTACTACATATAGATTCTTTAAATACTTTTGAAGGTAAAGGAAGATTCTTTGCCTGTCTTGCTTTACATACATGGCGGTTCAAACAGAGTGGGAATGGGTGCTATGTTTGATGGAGATATATTGTCAGCATATGGCAAGATAGTGGTGGTCAACTTCAACTACAGGCTAGGTATACTAGGTAAGCACATATTGATACAAGGAAATGTTTCCATCTTAAAAAAGAGGAGGAACATACCAAGAGGAATTTCAAAACGTATCTGTCGAAGAGAAACTTACAACGCCATGGCAAAAAAGAAAAACATCAAAAAGACAAAAAAGTCCACAAATACTACATAGAAAAGTAAAATCTGAGCAACATGAACCTAAACTATCAAACTAAATGTTATTGTGATATCATATATGCATATTTTAAACACAAAAGCAATAGAAATGCCAAATATGGCCTGGCATTTTTCACTTAAAAGCATTTATTACCTGAACAAACGATAAAAATTCAAAAAGGTCTTATATAATGATTTGGGTAAATACTGCAGTTACGTAAATGGACGATACTTGTTATCCCAAACTAACCGTAACTTTAATTTAAAAAAAAAAAGCCATATCATACCAATCTCCGTGCACACGACACGTGGAAACACGAATACATGTTTATGTTTGTCTAATACCCCCCTCCCCCTCCCCTCACCTTCCCCTCTTCTAACACCGGAGTTCACTTATTACGATATACGGTGAAGGTGAAATTAAGAAATGGATATCAAACAGAGCGAAATAACGTGTCGGTATTTCTACGAACATTTCGATCAATTATCAGATGAAGATTTTTGGTAATTTTACATAGACACAGGCTACAACTCACCTTGGAAAATTTCATGACCTTTAGTATTCTTAAGGTCCCATTGATTGATAGATACATTTCTTTGGTTATGCAGCTGCCAATGTATTAATACATCTTTATTTATGAACCTGCCCATGTATTGAGACATAATTGATAACTGCCCAGGTATTTATAAATGTCGGTTATATAGCTGTCCATTTATTGATACATCTTTGGTTATGTACCTGCCTACGTATTGGCACATCTTTGGTTATATACCTGCCTACGTACTGCCACATCTTTGGTTATATACCTGCCTACGTATTGTCACATCTTTGGTTATATACCTTCCTGCGTATTGGCACATCTTTGGTTATATACCTCCCTACGTATTGGCACATCTTTGGCTATATACCTGCCTACGTACTGGCACATCTCTGGTTATATACCTGCCTACGTATTGGCACATCTTTGGTTATACACCTGCCTACGTATTGGCACATCTTTGGTTATATACCTGCCTACGTATTGGCACATCTTTGGTTATATACCTGCCTACGTATTGGCACATCTTTGGTTATATACCTGCCTACGTATTGGCACATCTTTGTTTATATACCTGCCTACGTATTGATACATCTTTGGTTATATACCTGCCTACGTATTGGCACATCTTTGGTTATATACCTGCCTACGTACTGGCACATCTTTGGTTATATACCTGCCCACGTATTGTCACATCTTTGGTTATATACCTTCCTGCGTATTGGCACATCTTTGGTTATATACCTGCATACGTATTGGCACATCTTTGGTTATATACCTGCCTACGTACTGGCACATCTCTGGTTATATACCTGCCTACGTATTGGCACATCTTTGGTTATACACCTGCCTACGTATTGGCACATCTCTGGTTATATACCTGCCTACGTATTGGCACATCTTTGGTTATATACCTGCCTACGTATTGGCACATCTTTGGTTATATACCTGCCTACGTATTGGCAGATCTTTGGTTATATACCTACCCATGTATTGGCACATGATTGGTAACCGCTAAGGTATTTACAAATTCTAGTTATGTACCTGCCCATGTATTTATACATCGTTCGTTATTGTCCCTGTATTTATATATCCGTTGTTATGATTCGTATTTGATTTGGCCTTACAGTTGTTTTCATTCGAGCGCCAATGACGAGTCTTGGCAGACGAAATGCGCGTAAACACTTTTTTATGAAATGATTTTTTGAAAATTTTTATAACAGGATTAAACACATTTTTTTCTAGAGGTTATTGATGTGTAAACTGGGACAAATAACTCACAAACTGGATAAAAATCATCAGGACTTTACGACATTTATATAAAGTTTGCGATTCAGCGATCCAGTTAACACATCAATAACTTCTAGAAAAAAATGTGTTTAACCTTATAATTCTTTACCTACACATGTGAAATTTTTAAGTAATAATCCTTTGTTCATTGACTACTATTTTCAATGAAATGCACAATTCACATTTCGTAACTAAGTAGTTAGCCACCATATTGAATTGCTGAAATCCATAAAGGTTCGATTAATGCAATAGAATCTAAAATTAAATAGAACCTACCCCCAAAAACTTCATTTTATTGAGATATCACCCAAATTTAAAATGTTAAAGAAACGGAATAACCTTCCGAGCTTGAGAGTTTTCATTCGTATGTTTTTCCATGACGTCAATGTGACAAGATGATTCAAGAAATTTCTCGGAAATTATTTAGTTTTGATTTTATACATTTTCCAAGCCTTAATGATTTATTTTTTCATATGCATTAGAATAAAAATAACAGTTATGTATTTGTTTTTTAATCTCAGTTTGTTTGGAACTCCTGGATCCCATGCATGTGTATCGCGCTTAATTACATCACAGTGAAGTTTACGAAAGAATATCGGCAACATGGTCCATCGAAGTTTAAACCAAGGGGAAAATTCTAACGGACCAATCCAATTAAAGTATTTGCAGATATACCAATCATATAAGAATTATTGTTTATCTAACTCGAATTATTCAAAACTCTATGTTCCTCTACATAAGGCATATATAGCCATTGCCGTGTTTGGCACAACTTTTTGGAATTTTGGGTTTTTAGTGCTCTTCAACTTCGTACTTGATTTCGACTTAAAATTGTTTTTAATCTATCGCCACTGATGCCTCTTATGTACTCGAAAAACCCGCCTGGCTGAGTTATTATGTAGTCAACACTGATGACTCTTATGTACACGAAAAACCCGTCTGGCTGAATTATTATGTAACTACCAATATGTAATATACCTTTGGTTATGTAGCTGTCGATGTATTGATATATTTATGCTTTTATAGCTGATCATGTGTTAGTACCTTTATGGTTATGTACCTCACAGTAGGTATATTGTCCGGCTATGATCGTGTTTTTTCGAGTGATTTGATCGGGTTTTTTCGAGTGTGGGCACTTTTTTTGAGTGAATATGATAAAAAAATGTAAACAAACAGACGTCTTTTTTGTAAGACGTAAAATAGATGCTTAAACTTAATATACAAGGTAAGTTAGTATTTGTGATAAAAAGAAATCATAACCCCTACATTATTTTGTGTTCTAAAAGTTAAATTAGCTTTACAATGCTTTTATTCCAAAATATAGAATAAAACTTATTTTATACTAGTACCAAGGCAAATGTCAAAGGAAATGTATATTTGGATCTATATATACAGACACTTTATAAAAATTCTTGCCATTGCATTGAGAAGGACATTTTTAGAATACATTCATTTGTATATGTCCGTGTATTTTCGAAAGCAGTCCGGGTGTTTTGAGTGCGGTCAAGGTTTTGATCGAGTGATTAAACAAAATTTCAATGGCTAAAAATGTTATATGTCATTACGATTACGTTTGAAAAACAATGAAAAGGTTCAAATAAAGTACTTTTTAAAGCACGAAACCAATGCATTTAACCAGTTTGATGTATATTTGGATAGGTCTAACATGTCACGCACATGTAAATATGGTAGAACTATCGAACAAGTCAACACCCAGGTACACAAGTTGTATCGATCCAAACATACGTATATCAAGGTCGATTCAACAAGATATGGATAGCATACAGTAAATATTCGTGTTGTAAACAATATTAATGTGAGCACAGACATATATATATATATATATATATATAAAGAAAAGGAAATGTTGTATGAATGCTAATGAGACAAATATCCACAAGAAATCAAATGACAAAGATAAAAGTTGATATAGGTGACCGACGTCCTTCAACAATGAGAAAACCCTAAACCTTATAGGCAGCTCTAACAGACCCCAAAATGAAAAAATTGAAGCAAATAAAACGAGAAAACTAACGACCTAAGTTATACGCGCGTCTGGCGTATTAAATTATAATCCTGGTACCTTTGATAACTATTTACACCACTGGGTCGATGCCACTGCTGGTGGACGATTCGTCCCCGAGGGTATCACCAGCCCAGTAGTCAGCACTTCGGTGTTGACATGAATATCAATTATATGGTCATTTTTATAAATTCCTGTTACAAAACTTTGAATTTTTCGAATAACTAAGGACTTTCTTATCCCAGGAATAGATTACCTTAGCCGTATTTGGCACAATTTTTTGGAATGTTGGGTCCTCAATGCTCTTCAACTTTGTACTTGTTTGGCTTTATAACTATTTTGATCTGAGCGTCACTGATGAGTCTTATGTAGACGAAACGCGCGTCTGGCGTATTAAATTATAATCCTGGTACCTTTGATAACTATTTACACCATGCACTGGGTCGATGCCACTGCTGGTGGACGATTCGTCCCCGAGGGTATCACCAGCCCAGTAGTCAGCACTTCGGTGTTGACATGAATATCAATTATATGGTCATTTTTATAAATTCCTGTTACAAAACTTTGAATTTTTCGAAAAACTAAGGATTTTCTTATCCCAGGAATAGATTACCTTAGCCGTATTTGGCACAATTTTTTGGAATGTTGGGTCCTCAATGCTCTTCAACTTTGTACTTGTTTGGCTTTATAACTATTTTGATCTGAGCGTCACTGATGAGTCTTATGTAGACGAAACGCGCGTCTGGCGTATAAAATTATAATCCTGGTACCTTTGATAACTATTTACACCATGCACTGGGTCGATGCCACTGCTGGTGGACGATTCGTCCCCGAGGGTATCACCAGCCCAGTAGTCAGCACTTCGGTGTTGACATGAATATCAATTATATGGTCATTTTTATAAATTTCCTGTTACAAAACTTTGAATTTTTCGAAAAACTAAGGATTTTCTGATCCCAGGAATAGATTACCTTAGCCGTATTTGGCACAATTTTTTGGAATGTTGGGTCCTCAATGCTCTTCAATTTTGTACTTGTTTGGCTTTATAACTATTTTGATCTGAGCGTCACTGATGAGTCTTATGTAGACGAAACGCGCGTCTGGCGTATTAAATTATAATCCTGGTACCTTTGATAACTAATTATACAATACAAAGTACGTAAAAAAACAAATATGACGGACATGAACCTACGACAACCACTGAATTACAGGCTCTTGAATTGGGACAGGAATATAAAGATTGTGGCGGGGCTAAACATGTTTGTAAGCCCTCAACCCTCCCCTAACTTTGGACAGTGTTTGTTACAGCACAAAATAAGAACAAACTGTAAAAAATCAGTTACAAATGGATTTACTCAATAGATCGGTACGAAGCACAGACAACCCAAATAACATAATTACAATAGATACAAAGAAGAGTACCCGCGGTTAATGCGCGTTACAACTAATAAATAAATCATGTTTCCCGGACTAAAGTATCAAGCAGTACAATGTTGGATTGAGACGTACGTACATTGTGTGTGTGAAGCGGGTATGTGTATTTTTTAACAGAAAATACATCCTAGATGTTTCATTTACTATTCGTCTTGATAATAATTTGTTTTTATCGTTCTATGAATGGAAAACAAGAACAATTTTCAAATGCTACTACTGTGATTAGGAGTATGATCAAGCGTATGTTATACTTGGTCACACAGCAAAAAACACCATTATAGCTTTCTTTCCATCAGTTAGCAGTGCTTTAAAAAAAAATGAAAAAATAGACATTACAATTACCAATGTATATCTGCGGAAGTCTAGGAAAGACATGAATTAAATACATGAGGTGTACGCTATTGTGTACGCTATTGTGTACACATTTTTTCTTATTATTATTTCAAAAAGATCACATAAAGGCTTATAGATTATTTATTTCATTGTTTGTAATTATATTCCATTCAATACAAAATTGTTTGTCAATATGAAATAGTACAGGTGCGGATTAAATGTATTTTTTAAAGGGGGCGCTTGGCTGGTCCCAGGCCTCTGTTAGAAGAGTATTTGTGGTATATTGCATTTTACTGAATTTATAACCTCTGTCCCTTTGTTTTCTTAAAATTATCATCAAATTGAAAAGGGTTAAATTTGATCAACATAGTAATATGTTTTGTTACTTATTAGGAATATATAATATTGCCCTTCGCTAAATTACAGTTACAAACTAGAAAAAGTTAATTTTTAAGCCCAAGAATGCCTTCTTTCTTATTCACATTTTCTTTGAAAAACCCGAACCATTTGTTTAAAAACCCGGACGTTTTAAATGTTGCTCTCGAAAAAACACGGACAATGTATAACCCTGAATTGTTAGTAAACTACAAGGAAATTATATTATGCGTCTTTTGCGCTCAAAACATGTTTAGTATTCAGAATAAGATGAATAGACATGAATAAAACTATTATATACGCGAAATAGCAGTAAATTGGTCTGATCGCATTTAATATCACTCGAAAAAACCTGATCTACACTAAAAAAAAAGTGGACAGATTCACTCGAACAAACACGATCTCCGCCGGACACTATATCTACCGTGTACCTGCCTATGTATTGATACGTCTTTGGTTATACAGTTGGGTATGTATTGATGCATCTTTGATTATGTAGCGGCACATGTGCTGGTTCTTCTTTGGTTATGTGCCTGTCTATGTATTGATGCATATTGGTTATATAGCTGCACACGTATTGATTTATTTTTGATTATGTGCCTTCCAATGTATTCATATATAAAAAATGGGGCTTAACGTGTTTCATTAAATGCCAGTGTACCACAGCACCATGTTAGTATTATTATAGTTCTTATTTGAGGTAGACGTATCGCAAACGTATGGAAAAAAATGAAATGTTTCCTATCTTTAGAGACGAAAAATACTGTAAGCTAGGAGATAAACCATCCAGCCTTGGGATTTCAAAATAAAATAGATGAAAGATTTTTAGTAATTCAATTCTTTTACATTTTTGCTTAAAAAATGAAAGATTAAAATGACATTTTAACAACTTAGATTACTTATCTTTCAAACCGTTTTTACGTTGTTACGTAATTCTTTAAATATTATAATTAAGATGTTATCTAATCTAGTTTGTCAGGAATATATTTACCTTGCTATTGATATGAATTATGAAAGTAAAAAAATGTTCCGATTACACACATTTTCCTCTTCACAACGAATTAGACATAAACACGTTTTAAATGCCAATAAAATAGAATTCTGTTTTTAGAAAAGATGACCAAGTTTTAGTTGCGATTGTAATAATAAGTTAATTTATTTTCATGTGGGAGATAAGGCCCTCCCCATTACAGTTAAACTTACTAGCAAATGTGCCAACAAGGAGGTTGATTGGTGTTTGATATAAATACATGTGTATGTGTGCTTTCGTTCATTATTTTGTACCTAAATCAGGCCGTTAGTTTTCTCGTTTGAATTGTTTTACATTTGTCATTTCGAGCCTTATATAGACTATGCCGTTATGGGTTTTGCTCATTGTTGAAGGCCGTACGGTGACCTATATTTGTTAACTCCTAAGTCATTTGGTCTCTGGTGGAGAGTTGTCTCATTGGCAATCATACCACATCATCTTAATCTTTATACTAAGTACAACTATTTAGGAGCAAAACATCAGTTAATTGTTTCTATCTAGGTAAACTGGTTCCCCGTACCATTTGTAATTTTTCAAAAATCTAATATTCAAACAGAATTTAATATTGCTAATTCAATAAAAAAAAATGTGTAAAATTAATTAGCTATAGATATGCCCGTCATTCGATGTCTGTCTGTACAAGTAACAGTAATGGTATTAAAGTAAATATGTTCCTCCCGGGTATCTCCTAAACCAGTCATTTTTTATTTCGTATTCTTATGTACGATCTGACTTCAAGGAAATGCCATTTTGTACTTTTTGTTAAAAACAGTACATTGCTAAATCAAATTTCATTTTAATAATAAAAACGTATATGCATTCCAGGTTTCTATGCCGACAGAAGTGAGGGCATTGAAGGTAACCTTGGATTACTTGATCAAGTAAAAGCGATGGAATGGGTACAGAAAAACATTCATTTCTTCAACGGAGATCCAACAAAAGTAACAATATACGGACACAGCGCTGGCGCTGGCAATGTTGGTCTCCATCTTGTATCGGATTTAACAAAAGGTAATTGTGTAAAAACTAGTTCTATAAAAAGAATTGAATATATTTAAATCTATCGGGAATATCTCGATCGACCCGTATTCTTCTAGAAAGATTTGAATATCACATCAATGGTTCATTCTGTTAGCAATGTCTACTCTCAAACGCTCAAAGATCCAAACATTTGAATGCCCCCCCCCCCCACCCCCCCCCCCCCCCCCACCCCATTTTCCAAGTTGAATCAGTTTTCAAGAATGCGACTTGTCTTTTGAGTCAATCTTTTACAGTCGCAAATTTCCGTTTTACGGAAGTTTCAATTTTGTTCGATTAATGTCCTGTGGTAATGTGTCATGCATATCCAGGACGGGAACAAATAAAAAAAGAATCTGATAGCTCGGGTCTGATAGCTCGGGTCTGTGAATTGGATCGACTGTAGAGAAAGGCGAGGAAATTAAAATGCTACTTGAAATAATGTTTTTCGGATATGGGCATAAATTTTGTCAAGCAATGGCTACTTACGGACTTCTCAAAGAGTTTTGCAAGGGATCTATAACATATAGGAAGAATGGCATTTTCTCTACCTGAGGCATCGAAATTAGAGTTCCCGTTTCAACCGGACATAGATTTGTATTTATACATTCAGCACATCCTCTTAATGTGGCCTTTTACTGCAGGATAGGAGAAGTCCAGATGACCATTTTTCGATATAATATGCTGTAGACACAGGTCTGCTTCGTAATTTCATAACGTGACTTTTACATTGATCACAGTTAAGGGACACATTAGTTTTACAAGATGATGATTTGTGAACTGCATCAGATACTTTAAAAAAAACATTTATCAATTTCTATGTTTTGTTTAATGGGATATCAAATTAATGTCAAAATTTATGTTCAGTGACTAACAAGATGATACACAATAAGGTTTTTAATAGAGAACATTTCCCCGTAACCAGACACTTATAAAACAATTTGAAACTGCTTGACAATGTTCATCTCACAAGTGATAATTATTTTACTTCTAGGGTTGTATAGATATGCAATAGTTCACAGTGGATCTCCCTTAGCTTACTGGGGCGTTTCTGATTGTATACCGACGATGAAGAGCAAAACAGTTCCAGATGATTGTCAGCAAGGATCCAGTTATCTGCATGATAATATTGACTTTACGAACCTCTTGTCGGGACCAGTCACTTATAAAATCCTAGACTTGCCGGGAGAAGTAATCACGTTATATTTTTTCTAATATGACATACTATGGGCATATTTATCCAAGGGAACTTCTCATTTTTGAGTGCCATTTGTTACCTCCTTTTTACTCCTTTTTAAGCAACTGGTTATTGGATTCAAAGAACCAAGGTTATATAATATAATATACCTGATGGTAGCTGGGATGTCTAAATGTTCAACGATAGATTTTTTTAAAACTTCTGTAAAAGACTACTTGGTCAATTCATTTTCAAATTTCAATATAAAAACTGGGGGTCACGGAGCTTTTTTTCGTGTAAAATACATAGAAATTAACGAAATCACAGTTATTTCATAAGGGTTATATAGGGGAAACTTAATGTTTCCTTACTGAGGAAACATTAAACGATAGAATTGGTTAAAATTCAATGAGAATTTTCAAAAATACATTCAAAATATCAAATAAAAATAGGGGTTTACGAGCCTTATTTTCCCGAAAAATAAAAAAATAAATAAATTGTCCTATCAATTTGAAATAATTATCTGCCCTTGTTTTAAAAAGGATTGTTTTCTGAAAATTTTAAATCCACTTTACAACAACTTATTTTTCGATAGTTTCTTCCTTGAAATTCAAATTTTATGTGTTTCTGTTGTATACTGAATGATAGTTGGTAAAATATTTTTAAACCAAAAAAGTATTTTGCAACATGCCCAGAAGGGATGCACAGAAAAGACATCCGATCTACCTTAATTAGATTTTTGTCGTAGAAACGTTAGTATTTGTGAATACTAATATTGTATATTTCTTGACAAACCATGAATTAAGCATTATATTCTTCAAATATCAGGTATCCTCTGCAATTTTTTATTCAAACTATCTATGGTGTTTAAAGAATGAACAAATCCTTTAAATAAACTTATTCTAAAAGGTTACCAATTCAATACTGTAATGAGATCTTTGAATATTGTTTTTATTGGTATAAAAAATAATTTTGTTATCTGTAAAATTAAAACCATACTAAATAGTATTGTTATACACATATGCACTTTCACGGTACTACAATCTGTCGATACCTATATTTTGGCATTGCACAAGGTCATATTTTATTCTGATTGTTAATGACGTCTTTACACTAAATCCGTGTAGGTTGAATTTGTACTGATTGATATTTTAGTCTTAGATACATGATTTCTTTTAATAGTTGTTATTGGCTTTGTACTTTGTGTCTTTTTTTATGTTAGGGATGTTTAAATACCCTGCCATTTCCGTTCTGTGAGATGGTAGATGTGTTTCTGCGTTGTATCGATCTGATGAGTTAAGCCCTATTCAATTGATTTTTATAGTTTGTTCTTATGTTGTGCTGTAACACCACTGTTCCAGGTTAGGGGGAGGGTTGTGCGCTCACAAATATGTTTATCCCCGTCACGTTCTTTATGTGCCTGTCCTAAGTAAGATTCCTGTAGTTCATTAGTTGTCGTTGGTTCATATCTGTCATATTTGTTTTTCGTAAATTTCTTTTGTTATAAATTAGGCGGTTAGTTTTCTCAATTGAATTGTTTCATATTTTTCATGTCGGGGCCTTTGCAGCCGACTATACAGTATGGGTTTTTCTCATTGTTGAAGGCCGTACGGTTGCCTATAATTGCTTATATCTACTTCTTTTGAACTTTGAGGGATAGTTGTCTCATTGGCAATCATACCACATCTCCTTATTGTATAAGTACTTTTTTTCCTTCTTGAAAAACGTTTCATACAAATAAAATGTTATGATTATTTTCAGAAAACCCCACTTGGTTTGGTGGCATTTAAACCGGTGCTTGACGGCCATTACTTAAAAGATATACCAGATAAAATGTTCCAGTGTAAGCAAGTTCACGCTGAATCAGTTCTTTTGGCTATGGCAAAAGATGAATTCTTTCCAGAGTGTAAGTATTCATGTATAGAAAATATTCAAAGTGTTATAACTCTTTGTACATTTGTTATGTTAAGTTTCTATTTCTCTCGCTTAGGTTGTAAAATTAAACCATGCGATATGCTCAAGTTATGAATTGATAAATCAAATTGTCCATAAAAGGTGTGAATAAATTTAACAGAGCCTTCTAAAGCAGTTAATAACACGCAATAAAGAAGGAGCATACCAGCAAAACCGGATACAATGGTGCAAAAGTACTTCTGGTTTTTGATTTAAGTTAAAGTTGCGGGGTTAAACGATTAACGAGTTGTTCCACCACATCAAATAAATGTTGTGTGCCAAAATTTGACGTGTATATCGTTATGGACTTGATTGGTGTGGAAATTTGTCGTGTATATCGTTATGGACATGATAGGTGTGGAAATTTGTCCAGTTTAATGACATTAAACTTAAGTGTCGATATGTCTATAGAATTTCTCCTAATTTTTCTCCAATGAATTCTTTTTTTAATTTGAGGGCGCATTGTCCAGCAGGAGTAAAATTTTAAATTTTAAAAACTGAATCTTTCAGATTACGGATCCACATATCAAAGAAAACCAGGTAAGTTGTTTGAATAAATACAGAAACGAAGATAGGCAACACTACAAAAAATAACTACGTAAATAAACACAGAAGAGAAGAAAGGCAACGCTACAAAAACAAACTACGTCAATAAACAAAGAGAAAAGAAGAAAGGCAACGCTAAAAAAACAAACTACGTAAATAAACACCGAAAGGAAGAAAGGCAACGCTAAAAAAACAAAGTATGTAAATAAACACAGAAAGGAAGAAAGGCAACGCTACAAAAACAAACTACGTGAATAAACACAGGAAAAAAGGAAGTCATAGCTACACAATCAAAATACGTAAGTAAACACAGAAAAGAAGAAAGACAACGCTACAAAAACAAACTATGTAAATAAACACAGAAAAGAAGAAAGGCAACGCTACAAAAACAAATTATGTAAATAAACACCGGAAAAAAGGAAGTCATAGCTACAAAATCAAAATACGTAAATAAACACAGAAAAGAAGAAAGACAACGCTACAAAAACAAACTATGTAAATTAACACCGAAAAGTAGAAAGGCAACGCTACAAAAAACAAACCACGTAAATAAACAAAGAGAAAAGAAGAAAGGCAACGCTAAAAAAAACAATATACGTAAATAAACAAAGAGAAAAGAAGAAAGGCAACGCTACAAAAACAAACTACGTAAATAAACACAGAAAAGAAGAAAGGCAACGCTAAAAAAAACAAACTACGTAAATAAACACAGAAAAGAAGAAAGGCAACGCTAAAAAAACAATATACGTAAACAAACACAGAAAAGAAGAAAGGCAACGCTACAAAAAACAAACTACGTTAATAAACAAAGAGAAAAGAAGAAAGGCAACGCTAAAAAAAACAAACTACGTAAATAAACAAAGAGAAAAGAAGAAAGGCAACGCTACAAAAACAAACTACGTAAATAAACACAGAAAAGAAGAAAGGCAATGCTAAAAAAACAAACTATGTAAATAAACACAGAAAAGAGAAAGGCAACACTACAAAAACAAACTACGTAAATAAACACAGAAGAGAAGAAAGGCAACGCTACAAAAACAAACTACGTAAATAAACAAAGAGAAAAGAAGAAAGGCAACGCTACAAAAACAAACTACGTAAATAAACACAGAAAAGAAGAAAGGCAACGCTACAAAACAAACTACGTAAATAAACACAGAAAAGAAGAAAGGCAATGCTAAAAAAACAAACTATGTAAATAAACACAGAAAAGAGAAAGGCAACACTACAAAAACAAACTACGTAAATAAACACAGAAGAGAAGAAAGGCAACGCTACAAAAACAAACTACGTAAATAAACAAAGAGAAAAGAAGAAAGGCAACGCTAAAAAAAAACTACGTAAAAAAACACCGAAAGGAAGAAAGGCAACGCTACAAAAACAAACTACGTGAATAAACACAGGAAAAAAGGAAGTCATAGCTACAAAATCAAAATACGTAAATAAACACAGAAAAGAAGAAAGACAACGCTACAAAAACAAACTATGTAAATAAACACAAAAGAGAAGAAAGGCAACGCTACAAAAACAAACTACGTAAATAAATAAAGAGAAAAGAAGAAAGGCAACGCTAAAAAAACAAACTACGTAAATAAACACCGAAAGGAAGAAAGGCAACGCTACAAAAACAAACTATGTAAATAAACACAGAAAGGAAGAAAGGCAACGTTACAAAAACAAACTACGTGAATAAACACAGGAAAAAAGGAAGTCATAGCTACAAAATCAAAATACGTAAATAAACACAGTAAAGAAGAAAGACAACGCTACAAAAACAAACTACGTGAATAAACACCGGAAAAAAGGAAGTCATAGCTACAAAATCAAAATACGTAAATAAACACAGAAAAGAAGAAAGACAACGCTACAAAAACAAATTATGTGATTAAAGACCGAAAAGTAAGGCAACGCTACAAAAAACAAACTACGTAAATAAACAAAGAGAAAAGAAGAAAGGCAACGCTACAAAAACAAACTACGTGAATAAACACAGAAAAGAAGAAAGGCAACGCTAAAAAAAAAACAAACTATACGTTTATAAACAAAGAGAAAAGAAGAAAGGCAACGCTAAAAAAACTACGTAAATAAACACAGAAAAGAAGAAAGGCAACGCTAAAATAACAAACAACGTAAATAAACACAGAAAGGAAGAAAGGCAACGCTAAAAAGACAGACTATGTAAATAAACACAGAAAAGAAGAAAGGCAACGCTACAAAAACAAACTACGTGAGTAAACACAGAAAAAAAGGAAGTCATACATGTAGCTACAAAATCAAAAAACGTAAATAAACACAGAAAAGAAGAAAGGCAACACCACAAAAACAAATTATGTAAATAAACACGGAAAAGAAGAAAGGCAACGCTAAAAAAAAACAAACTACGTGAATAAACACAGGAAAAAAGAAAGTCATAGCTACAAAATCAAAATACGTAAATAAACACAGAAAAGAAGAAAGACAACGCTAAAAAATCAAAATACGTAAATAAACAAAAGAGAAAAGAAGAAAGGCAACGCTACAAAAACAAACTACGTCAATAAACACAGAAAAGAAGAAAGGCAACGCTACAAAATCAAAATACGTAAATAAACAAAGAGAAAAGAAGAAAGGCAACGCTAAAAAACAAACTACGTGAATAAACACAGGAAAAAAGAAAGTCATAGCTACAAAATCAAAATACGTAAATAAACACAGAAAAGAAGAAAGACAACGCTACAAAAACAACTACGTAAAGAAACACAGAAAAGAAGAAAGGCAAGTCTACAAAATCAAATTACGTAAATAAACAAAGAGAAAAGAAGAAAGGCAACGCTACAAAAACAAACTACGTAAATAAACACCGAAAAGAAGAAAGGCAACGCTAAAAAATCAAAATACGTAAATAAACAAAAGAGAAAAGAAGAAAGGCAACGCTACAAAAACAAACTACGTCAATAAACACTGAAAGGAAGAAAGGCAACGCTACAAAAACAAACTACGCCAATAAACACAGAAAAGAAGAAAGGCAACGCTACAAAATCAAAATACGTAAATAAACACAGAAAAGAAGAAAGACAACGCTACAAAAACAACTACGTAAATAAACACAGAAAAGAAGAAAGGCAAGTCTACAAAATCAAATTACGTAAATAAACAAAGAGAAAAAAAGAAAGGCAACGCTAAAAAAAACAAACTACGTAAATAAACACCGAAAAGAAGAAAGGCAACGCTAAAAAATCAAAATACGTGAATAAACAAAAGAGAAAAGAAGAAAGGCAACGCTACAAAAACAAACTACGTCAATAAACACAGAAAAGAAGAAAGGCAACGCTACAAAATCAAAATACGTAAATAAACAAAGAGAAAAGAAGAAAGGCAACGCGTCAAAAACAAACTACGTAAATAAACACCGAAAAGAAGAAAGGCAACGCTAAAAAAAACAAACTACGTAAATAAACAAAGAGAAAAGAAGAAAGGCAACGCTACAAAAACAAAATACGTGAATAAACAAAGAGAAAAGAAGAAAGGCAACGCGTCAAAAACAAACTACGTAAATAAACACCGAAAAGAAGAAAGGCAACGCTAAAAAATCAAAATACGTGAATAAACAAAAGAGAAAAGAAGAAAGGCAACGCTACAAAAACAAACTACGTCAATAAACACAGAAAAGAAGAAAGGCAACGCTACAAAAACAAAATACGTGAATAAACAAAGAGAAAAGAAGAAAAGCAACGCTACAAAAACAAACTACGAAGACACATATCCTTTCATTTAGATAGAAGAATTTATGTTTTCTGATTTTTAATTCAATATGATATGCTTGCTCACTTTCATATTTTTTTGCAAAAAGAGAAATAAATTCTTTTAAAAACAAACTATAGAGAAACACTGCATTTGTCATATTGGACAATTATCCGTATATATATTGATAAATAAGACTAAAAACTAATTAAAAGAAGCATTAAAATTTCAATAACTTACACCCATTTCTGCTTAATATGCTCTACGTAGTCTTCTTAGCCTCTCATACGAGATACCACGTGATGACAATAATACATCATGAACTGTCAGTATATACAATGGGTAAAGATACCACTTGATGACAATGATACATCATGAACTGTCAGTATATACAATGATACATCATGAACTGTAAGTATATACAATGATACATCACGAACTGTCAGTATATACAATGATACATCATGAACTGTCAGCATATACAATGAAATTGTAACGAAATGTCGGTTCCCTGATATGGAAGTTGTTTCCCCTAAAATTGTGTGATGACGTTGTTTAAATCGTATCGATAATTGACTTTTTTATTATTATATATTTCTTGTATAACTATGTTTAACATTGTTAACTCTAAAACTTTTTATTATTCTTGCCTATGTTTTTACATTCGGAACACCTCTGAATTGTTTATTTCAATTGACGTACAATGACGTCAATTCCGGTTTTGGTCATTTAGGTATTTTCCAAAATGGTAAATGGTAAACGGTAAACCAAATCGGTAAATTGGTTTACCTAAGTATAAATACGGCGGAGAATACAGATAAGTCTTCAGCACGATTTTACCCTGGGCAAGTAACACTCGCTAATTCCAAGATATTTTGATATACGTACTGATACCATGTACCAGACAAAGTAGTAACCAGACAGCCAACACTATTACAATGTCCGAGGAGACGACGTCCGTATAATGTGGGTTTGTTAATTCCTTTACAAGTTACATTTAGAGAATAACTTCTCGAGAGAAACTTTATCTTTTGGCATTGAATTTGATTTACCATTTGCCGATTACCAAACTACAATTAGTAAACTTTCTGGGTATATTTTTCCGCTATCCATTTTCTTTAATTCACGATAGAAGGTTAATAAAGTATTTATCTGTTAGGCTAGAATACTGTTAAGTTATTTAATATTTGTATGTATTGTTGATATTTAATGCATCTTAAAGTTAATACAAGTTGGTTTTTATTTAACGAGTCTGTTATTCTTACAAACATCGATAGTTACCATACAAAAAGCTAGTATACTCCAATATACCCTTTTATATCCGAGTCATTACCTTACCAGAGGAACCAACCTTACCAGTGTGTATTCAGAATACCAGAGTACCACATAGTACCACGATACCAGAGTACCAAGCTGCCAAAGAAGGGTCACCAGTTATAACTTTTATTTCTTATATACTCGTACATTCTAACAAAACACATTTTTGTAGCAACGCACTAAGGGATAAACATTTATAGTTTAACACTAAGGCCCGACCGCTTGGTTTTCGTTACAATATCATGAACTTCAGTATATATAATAATACATCATGAACCGTCAGTATATACAATGACATATCATGAACTGTCAGTCTATACAATGATACATCATCAACTGTCAGTATATACAATGGGTAAAGATACCTCTTGATGACAATGATACATCACGAACTGTCAGTATATATAATGTTACATCATGAACTGTCAGCATATACAATGACATATCATGAACTTCAGTATATATAATGATACATCATGAACCGTCAGTATATACAATAGGTATACTTGAGAACATGCTGTTTTTAGTTTACATATTTATCCTATATGTTTATATAAAGTAATTTTTCCTTTCTTTCCAGGTGAAGATTTCGATTTTGACGGCTTATTTACTGAAGATAATGCAGGTAATTTGCAGAAAAGTATCCTATATTTCTTGGCAGGAATTTACTTTTATCGGTCAATAATATTTTGAAATCTATATGCAATGTGTTCCTTTAATGGCTTAAAATTTGGACTACTTCCATGTTTGAACTTTCCTAAAGTTCGTTAGATCCAACTTTAGTTATGTTTGTTATGTGTGGTCTAATTTACATTTAACCAACATTCCTTCTTATTTATATTGAGCAAAAAAACAATCGCTTACACCCCGCGAAGTCTTCCTTTATCGAATTATCCTAAATTTTACCATCGTTTTATTTATCAACTATAGGTAAACTTACTGCCATAAAAGACTTCTTCAACATAATCATAGATCCTTACCACGACTGACCCAAATTACCTGTTTGGACGATTTTTTTTTTAATAAAAATGGGATTCTGAATATTTCTTCTGTAAAATAAAAAATAATCAAAAGATTTTCCTGCAATAAGTTCGAAATTTTTATTATAATAACAAGGATTCAAAACGTGTAGCAATGCAAGGTTCGCGCGATTTTACTATCTGGTTTCGTGCCGATCAAAAAATAAGGCCTTACTGGTCTGTACAACTATATCTTGCCTTGATGCTGAACTGTACACCGATATACGAGACAACATGTGGCTTATTCTCTTCTACAAAACTCGTTAAACTAAAATCAGAAGATGAATCTTTGGTTAGAATGTGTATTTTAACATGAAGCGGACCACTTCCGCACAACCTAATACCTTGATAAAGTCATAAATTAAGTTCACCTCTGACGTCAAAATTTGACCGCCAAATCTTTTATCGCGTATAATGACATTATCCGAGCTACGCAGAATATTCAACATTAACACATACTTTTTACGCCTCTGTTACTGAATCATGTTATCATGTTTTGATATGCATGCAATACCCTTCCTGATAAACAGTTTTAAAATTAGAAGTAGATCTCTTAAGGGGTCAAGAATGTGAAATTAAATTTTCAGCTTATTTATCAAGAAGGATATATTATATCTTGTTAATGGATTTAGACGCTTCTGAATTTAGCCATATACAAACTTACTGCATTCTAATGATTTGAAGGGAAAAAAAATATTACTATGTTATTAGTCTTCAACATTTTTCTATCCCTTATCATGCAATTATGGTTTCACATCTAGATGTCGACTTGTATTGATTTTAATGAAATATGTGACTATCCTTTTTATTATTAAGGGTTTTTTCATGTTTTGCTCCCCTAAGTTCCATATGTATTTTTTTTCTTAAAAGTATGCATTTTCTGTCTTTTTGCAGTTTTTTTGTCGTTGTTGAAATAGTATGTAGTCCACACTAATCATTTGCTCTAATCATACAAAACTTCCTGCTAAGTAATTTAACATTTAGTTTATCTGCCCTATGGTTGTCTAAATTCTTGTATTGTATGTATACTTTAGTTTGCCTCAACCAAATGTTGTGAAAATAAATGGAGAATGTGTCCATGGGACACAGATGATACACCCGCTTGCATATAACGTTATAAAGGGCCATAACTCGAGAACAGTAAAAGTGACGCCACCCAAATTCGAATTTGATTTGTGTGTTGTGGTAATAAGCATTGTGTATAAGTTTCATAACATTTGGTTGAGGAAAACTAAAGTTAGAGAAAGGAAACCAATTTTGGGACGTACATACGTATGGACGGACGTACGGGCGGACATGGGTAACACTTAATGTCCCCTCCGGTGACGACGGGGCATAATTATACACAATGCTTATATCCAAACACAGATCAAGTTCGAATTTGGGTGTCACTTTGATCGTTCTCGAGTTATATCCCTTAATGAATAGCAGTTTCCGCACTCTAACTTTACTTTGCCATAACAAATGTTCTGAAACTTATACACAATGCATCAAACACAGACCAAGTTTGAAATTGAGTGTCGTCACTTTTACCGTTCTTGAGATTTGTCCCTTTATAAATAGAAAAATTGTCGAATTTGTCGTATCCGCACTCTAACTTTACTTCTCCTCCACTAAATGTAATGAAACTTATACATAAATGCTTATTACCATCAAACACAGACCAAATTCGAATTTGGGGTGGCCTCACTAACACCGTTCTTGGGTTGGACCCTTCATAAATTTATAAATGGAAAATTGCTAAAATTGCTGATTTGCGTACTCTATCACTATTACTGTTCGTAAGTTATCCCTCTCTATAACTGGACAAATTTCTCTTGTCCCCACTCTAACGTTTTATGTACTGACCAAACGTTTCATTTTTACGCTCAAAAGTTTGAACTTGTACATTGACTCTTGTATATTTACAACCGAGAGCATCTGCATCCTATTAACTCGTTCTTGTTTTATTTTCTTACAGAGCGCAAGTTAAAAATGGTGCATACTTAGTAATGATATTCTCTTCTTTTGACAGATACAATAAAAAAAGTATTTGAAGAATGGAAGAAAAATAATATTTCTACATATCCACATGTAAGACTGAATTATTGATTTATATAGTACACATATGTCTTTATGGGATGGCAATAAAAGCAAAATAGGAAAATGGACGATATTCTCCTTGAATTTGTACTAACTGGTCATTTATTGAAAAACTTTTCCATCAAGGTTATTCAACATTGTAATAAGATCTTTGAATATTGTTTTTATCCATAATAACGTTGATTTTGTTTTCAACTAATTATATAAAACATGTACTGCTATCCAGTTATGGTTTTACTTTTAAGATTCTCATTAAAACTAAACATGTACTGCTATCCAGTTATGATTTTACTTTTAAGATTCTCATTAAAACTAAACATGTACTGCTATCCAGTTATGATTTTACTTTTAAGATTCTCATTCAAACTAAACATGTACTGCTATCCAGTTATGATTTTACTTTTAAGATTCTCATTCAAACTAAACATGTACTGCTATCCAGTTATGATTTTACTTTTAAGATTCTCATTCAAACTAAACATGTACTGCTATCCAGTTATGATTTTACTTTTAAGATTCTCATTCAAACTAAACATGTACTGCTATCCAGTTATGATTTTACTTTTAAGATTCTCATTCAAACTAAACATGTACTGCTATCCAGTTATGATTTTACTTTTAAGATTCTCATTCAAACTAAACATGTACTGCTATCAAGTTATGATTTTACTTTTAAGATTCTAATTCACAAACTAAACATGTACTGCTATCAAGTTATTAGCACTTATGATCCTACATACTGTCGATACTCATATTTTAACATGGCTCAAGGTCATGTTTTTCTGAAAATTGCTTTAAGACGTCTTTTCACAAATACGTTTGGGTGTAATGGTCGATTCTATAGTCGGGGGGGGGGGGGGGGGGGGGACTAGCCTTCTGAAACTGCAAATATTCCTAAATCGGTACTTTTACTTTGTGTCTGTAGTCTTTTTTAGTTGTTTTTGTGCTTATTGCCAATCTGATGATTAATCCTTTCCAACAGGTTTTTACTGTTTGTTCCAATGTTTTTATGTTCCGCCACTGTCCCAAGGTTTGGGAATCAAGAAGAGTTGATTGCACACAAACTTGTTTCATCCCTCTCCCGGTTTAAGCGCCTGTACAAGACCAGGAGCCTGTAGTCCAGTGGATATCTTTGATTGCCGCCTGTCATAATGTATTTTGTTTGATGTTACATGTATAAGTTTACACCAGGCTTTCGCATGGCTGATGATGTCTGAATAACAGAAGACGCTTAGCTCTGTCGACGCTCCTTTTGGAGTTCATGGTTTGTCCGGTTAATCGATTTATGAGATTTGGACATCGTCAATCTGTATTATCCGGTGCCTTTTATGTCATACTTTAAGCTATTGGTTTCATTTATTGTTGAAAGCTGTATCATAACCACCTGAAGTTGTAAACATGGTCTTTTGACGGATAGTTGTTTCATTGGTTATCACACCACATCTTCTAACTTCTTATTAAAACATTATTATTAAACAAACTAACTTCAGTCAAAAGTTTTCTGATGACTGTTTAATGCAGTTGGAAACTTAATAGTTATATAGGTACTTGAAAGAGCAATTACGTCTTTTAAAAAATCAATATGCAGCCATTTTTGCAATAATTAAATTATTATGCTGCTTTTGTTGTATTATAAACCCGAGAGAAAGAACGGTCTGGGTTTTTTCTAACAGTCAACTTGTTTGTTCTTTTAACAGATCAGGTTTAAATACATAAAACACATGGTTTGAAATCATATACGTTACCTTTAAAAATTGCTTACATTATATTTTACTGAAACGCGTCAACTATTACACCAATGTCAAGTCCTTATAAAAAAAGATTGGTTGGCTTGAATTTTGAATTACACAACTAGTTTGATGTTGCTTCACCTAGCATTTACCCATATGTCCCTTATATCAACTTGAATATTTTTATCTTTTATTTCAGTATGCTCAGATGGCATCTGACGTCATTTTCTTCGCGCCTATGGTTAAACTGGCAGATATGATATCAGAATGGATGAAACGTGTATATCTGTTGAGTTTCGAGTATGTTTCTCAAAATCTTACAGGACCTGAGTGGCAGGGTATTTATTGTTTATTGATAAAAATATTAAAAAAAATTTAATAGGAAATAAGATTCAATGGATTTTTCTGCATTATTTGAATAGATCAATATTTCGTTTGGGAGGGTAGTTGGAATTGTTAAAATTATTTCATGTAACCATAGCATTTTAGTTTAAAAAGGAAAGAACAATTTTCTCTGTATCTATTTCACTTTAAAGGTCAAACACAGAAAAAATATAAAACCTATATGAATCTGGAATTCAAACATTAAAGAGTCTTATCGGATCAACCTTAAACAGGAACTCTCTAAAATTAAATTGAACCAGAGGTCTTCGTCGTGTAGAAGTAAGCTTTTATGAAACTGAACTGGAATTAACGCTTTTTCGATAATTACTTTTGTGGGGGCTTTTGTTAGTAACTGTCAAGTTAACGGTATGTTTATTTAAAATCTAATGAGTTATTTTAGGAAAGCCATTTTTTTACGTTATGGAGTTAATTATTAACAGTTTATATGTATATAGTTACACGTTCAGTTTCCCCATCATAATTTTTATGACATTAAGGCTTACCTTTTAATACATTGAAATGTGTTATAATTATCAATGGTTAAATTCACTTAGTAATACATTTTCAAAGTACCAATGCTAACTGGTGTACCATAGACACATTTTCTTGGATTTATATCACTTTTTTCAATATGTTATTTGAATAGCATTTCTAAGTTAACTTAGACTAAGTGCAAGTCCATAGAGAAACATTTCTCGACACGATGTCTTATCATTGAATCGTTTCTTTTTTTATGAGTTTTTGTCTTTCCTCGTTTTAATCTAGGTTTTAATCCAATTATTAAAAACAGAATGTCATCCAGCTTATAGAATAACCTTCAGGGAAGATGTATGAAATGAAACAAATCATTTTGCTTTATCCAAAGACCATCACCAACAACTCTTCAGGTCAAATTCCAAGGAACTTACTTTTTGATATTCATACTGCTTGAAATCACTGACCTTTTGTTCGGATTTTTTAAAATATTTTACAGGCGTTCCCCATGGATGGGATTTATTTTATGTATTTGGAGCCCCATTAGATGGTCATCCGAACCATGTCTACACACCAAGAGATGTACAGGTTTCCAAAACAACGATGAAATTGTTTAGTAATTACGTTAAATACGGGTAAGTACAAATGTGTATTGAAAATTTGATAACAATTGTTATACCATTTTATGTATTTAAAGTCATATAAAACGAATTTCTTGTAATTATAATATTACGGAAATTACTAAACCATTGTATGTATATTTTCCAAAGTAAGTCCTCTATGCACGATTTTTTACATTTACTACGAATCCTCAACGTCTAATCGACAAAACGTATTTCATTTAGTGGAAAGTTTAGCTGCTAACTTACTTTCGGGTTTTATTGCCGAAGTTTACCAATCGTGACCTTAATAGACAATCAGCACAGAAACAGTGACCACTGGAAAAATAAGTGAGATGACAGAGCGACGTTTAATTTTTATTTAAGAATATTTTCCATGTCGGCGTTTCCATTTTTTAATTTAACAATGTCATAACAATTGTTAAATGATTTGGCGAATTAAACTTTTTCTTTCAAAATTTACTCTATCTAACTTCCACATTTGTTTACGCTTTCTTATATCACGGTTTTTCCCTCGTACTTTCGCTGTGCGTTTGCCGAAGTTCTAAAGAGAAGTTCTCGTATTTAAGGTCACTGCTTACGGAAAAGCCATCGGAAAATTAGAGTACGGGAAGACAATAATTCAATAGCAGTACATTAGATTAAGTATTTTCTTTTCAAAGAAAGTTCAGGAGAACGTCTTCTGCAGTACAACTTCAAGTAAATGAAACATATTCAACGTTCTATTTACTTTTAAAGTATCATATGACTTTAACGGACATTCATATACCGTAATGAGGTGATCTGGGGTAATATTTTTGGTTTTGAAAGTTTAAGTCGTTGTCCTTTTTTGTTTAATATGAGGTATCATCCATCCATGACACAAAATCAGTACATGCACAGCAAAAACACACAAAAAGCAAAGGAACATCGCTTTTTATTGCTTTTTTTCATCTCATAGTCACAATGAGGCCTTCAACACTTGGTTTATTTACATAACTATCATCTAAAATTTAGATAGGAAAAAAGTTCTTACATGAAGCTTGAAATTTTTTTAGTAGCTAACGAGATGAAATTTGTAAGAAATTTCTAGCTTTGAATGCATGGTTATTTGATTTTTACCTGGTATGAAAACTTAATGCGAATACTAGTATGATATATAAAAATGTTCAGATAACTTGGTCTGCACTAAAAATTTTGCCAGGGATCATTTGGTTGGAAGTTGGTTATTCACGACTAAAATATCCACGGTGAAATATCTGATTGCAAATGACGAAAAAGCAAACATAAAGAATTATGATAGTCAACATCATATACTATGTAGAATATTTTAGTATGTTGATCGTGTCAGTACCAAAACACCGACCACCAGCAGTTGTATCGACCCATTGCTAGTAAATGACAATATCACTTTTGAAATTTCGTGCTTCTTAAGCGCTTTTCTTGATTTATTTTCATCAGGAACGCTAAAACATTAGCATGGGATGTATAAATACGTAGGAACGTTCGGAGCTACAAAAATGTATATGACCAAAAAGAACATAAAAAAAAAAATCTTAGTTTCTTAGTAATTTATTAATCTATCAATAGGAAATTTCAGAAAATGTAAACAACATCATGTCAGTACCAATAAAGCACCAATTTTTGAGCTGATGATACCCTTGGGGACTAAGATTCTAAATGAGTACATGTCTATCAATCAAACTTATTGATAAATAGGCTAAAAAGTGAGACCTTCAAAAACTTTTTTTCAGGTATCTTAGTGTAGATGGTAAGCGACAACTAGATATGTATAACAGTACGACGAAATCATTTAATAAGCTCCATTACCAAGCTGGAAAACCAGTGGTCTCAGCTGAATACAACTTTAGAAAACCAAGAATGGATTTTTGGAACAAATATTTGTTTACTGAAGAACCTTTTACGTGCAATAAAGCTTGTAACGTCGAATTCAGAATACATTTCTTTATATGCTGCTTATTAGTTGTGTATTTATTTATCTGATTGACTACCTCATTGATACAGTTGTGTATATAACGAATAACATGTAAATACATATTGTTATATAAATGTAAATTGTAAATAACTGATAAACTATTTTTCTGTTTAGCCATGGAAGTAATGTACTTCCTTATTTAGCAACAATATGGAATACTTTCTATAGCTGACGTCGTTATTTTCTAGCGTAAAATATGGCAATCAAGTTTTGAAACTATCAAAAAGTCGTAATTTTATTTATTTCTTTTTCATACAAAACAATTAATGAACATGTACTAAGAGAATATCATATTGCTTTTCAATTTCACATTCGTATCAACCCGAGACATCAATATAATTCTAGGAACTCTGCAGGAGGGCTTAAATTGGTGGCGGGTTGATACGGTGTGTGATATTGAAAAAAAAAACCCGTATCATATGCACTTTATTATATACTTAGTAGTAAATACAGGTAAATTGTATGTGTAATACAATTGATGGCAATCGTGCTGTATCAGCCATCCGTGATGATATCGATACCAGTCACTGTTGCAAAGGCTTTATCAAACCCCTAATCTGTATGACGTCACGTAATCGATATCAGTCACGGTTACAAAAGCTTTATCAAACCCCTAATATGTATTACGTCATGCACCTAATATGTCTCGTGAAAAATACATAAGAGAGATTAGCTGTACTTGAGTTACATGTATATAATAAAGTGTATATGATATGGCTTTTTCAATATCACACACCGTATCAACCCTCAACCAATATAATCCCTCGAGCAGAGCTCTTGGGAGTATATTGGTGTCTCGGGTTGATACAAGTGTAATATTGAAAAGCCATATGATATTCTCTATTTATTATATACATCAAGTAGATGATTTTTCAGGTGACGTGACACAATACATATTCGGGGTTTGATAAAGCCTTTGCAACCGTGACTGATATCGATTACGGCATGACATATTATTTTTTTTTGTGATGGATCTTATAGATTTTCATTTGTTTTATTCAAATTAGAAGAGTTTTATAAAGGAAAAAAGGAATTGTTATTTAAAATATTCTTGGTGTATTGTAAATAAATGGTTATTTGTTTCGAAATAAAAGTGTATTTTCATTTGTTGAAATTAAATGTTATTCCTCGCAAATTACAATGGGGATTTGCCTTTAATGGTTTTTTTGTCGAGGCCAGTTTGTTTATGGGGCTCATTAACATTTGTAATTGTATTTTTGTCTTCTAAATTTTTTGTTCTTGGATAAAGCTGATGAGAATCACTCATTAACATGGTCCAAGGACACAGTTATCGTCCTTTGGTTTTCGTTGTCTACGAATATAGTCCCTAGTGTGAACAGTGTATAACTTGCATTTTTTTTTGATACACTTTCCCAATTTATTTCTTAATATTTTATGCATGAAATATTAAGTAAGGGGATGAAATTACATGTTAAAAAAATTTGGGTGCTGAATCTTTATGTTAAGTAGTGATTTGGTCCAGTTAAAAAAGGTCAAAAATTAGAATGTCTGAAGCTGTCAAACTGAATTTTAGCCCCCCTTAACACAGAATTGTCAATATTTTGAGTTAGAGCTGGTAGAAGTTTCTATAATTTTTATATTATTTGTATCAATAGTAGTACACTACACTGTAAAAATCTTTTTGAGATAGAGCAGGTGCGATTTTTTTAATTTGAATTTATTGTCTAAAAGAAATGCACTAGGAAATAACTGTGTTCTCGGGCCTAAGAGATGAATTCCGTAAATGTAGATTCTGTACTTTGGCAACTTTCCTGAATGGTTTGCTGGTTTCAATTTGTCAAACTCAATAAAAGTAAAGGATTTACATCTTTGTTTGACAGAAATTCTGTTAAAATGTCCCATTTCGGCATTATACGGCTAAAATAAGCATTTTAAAGCAGTTTCCATTTTATGCCTAAGAGCCATGCTGACTTTCTATCTGACAGCTTTTTATGTTCCTGATATTTGTGTTTCTATGCTTAAATCAAATTTAATTAACCATTTGTGAACTCGGAATCTAGAGAAAAGTAGATTATCACAGAAAAAATGTGCAGAATATTTGTATTTATGTCCCTGGTTAAACGGCCTGTTTGATGTATGTGAAATGTGAAGAGCTTTGTACATAAAATCTGTAGTCCATCACAAATATTTCACTAAATCTGTAAAAAAACCACTTTACAATGATCAGTACACCCTATTCATTTCATATGCTACCATAATTTTCTTCTTTAGGATAGTAAGTGGTTCAAATATATGCCAAATGAGACTAAAACTACATGCAAGTTTTCCATTGAAAAGTGAAAAACTGGTCATCAGACCATACTGTCTGCAAAAAAAAGTTGAATTCAAGAGTCCTTTTGCAATTAGACTTCTTGTATCATGACATCTTAGCATAGAAATGAGTAAAAAGTAACAAATTTCAATTTCTTATAGCCTCTGTGTGCATTTTTATATGTAAATATGGGCTACGGCCTAAATCGACTCTAAATAATTCTCAGTCTTACATGGCCTAAGACCATTTTATACTCATGTGGTATGCTTTTTGTAACTTTTCTTTACATTCAAAGTACATTTAATATATATGAAAGAATAATGTATGGTTAAAAAACTTCAAAAACTTCAAATTGGTTGAAAAAAATGCATGTTTATGTAAGGCTTCCCTTAATTCGAAAATCTCTATTTTCAGGCACAGGCTCATATAAATTTGACTTTTGAATAACTGTAATAAATCTGATAAATCAAATGAGTGTTCCGTTGCTTTTAAAACTTATTATATTAAATTCAAGAGTAATTAAAAAGCAAATTTTTGCAATATTTAAATTTTTTAGGCCAAAATCTTGACAGTTGAAAATATTTGATTTAAACGTCAAAAATAAACATCCAAATTTCAATATAAAAATGGCCCTAGTTTCTATAATATATATCCTATGGCCATGAAACTTGGCCAGCTATCTTATAATTGCCTAAGCTTAGGTCATGCAAAGTTTTATTAAAATTGGTCAAGTCTTTCTATCCTATTAGGTCCAAGGACACAGTTATCGTCCTTTGGTTTTCGTTGTCTACGAATATAGTCCCTAGTGTGAACAGTGTATAACTTGCATTTTTTTTTGATACACTTTCCCAATTTATTTCTTGATATTTTATGCATGAAATATTAAGTAAGGGGATGAAATTACATGTTAAAAAAATTTGGGTGCTGAATCTTTATGTTAAGTAGTGATTTGGTCCAGTTAAAAAAGGTCAAAAATTAGAATGTCTGAAGCTGTCAAACTGAATTTTAGCCCCCCTTAACACAGAATTGTCAATATTTTGAGTTAGAGCTGGTAGAAGTTTCTATAATTTTTATATTATTTGTATCAATAGTAGTACACTACACTGTAAAAATCTTTTTGAGATAGAGCAGGTGCGATTTTTTTAATTTGAATTTATTGTCTAAAAGAAATGCACTAGGAAATAACTGTGTTCTCGGGCCACATGTGATGTGTGTAATGATACATATATATTACTACTGTTCGACGGTTACTCCCCTGTCTGTATCGTTGTTTTTCAATTGGTAACCCCCCCCCCCCCCGCGGAGGCTACCATCCTCGCAGTATTAACTGCTTCGACATTGGCGTGATTTAAATGGCACATTAATCAATATTAGTTATAAATAATGTGCATGTATCAACTCCATAAGGCAACGTTGTCCTTGGTTTGACTTTTTTTGTTGATGTCAGTATGTTTTGAAGCTGAAACATGTTGAGTATATTTACTATTCCTCTCTGTAGCATAAAAGAAGATACTAGTACTCCAGAAACACAAGTTGTGTGAACTGAAAACTGTATCATATGTTTCTATTATCATTGAATACGAGTAATTATATTTTCATATTACTTGTGTAAAGTGTAGGAACGCCAAATGTTTTAATACAATTGCAGATGAAAAAGTCTTAGATTGTATGTACTCTAAAAGATCTTTGGAATTTTTTAGTATCCACATCTAAATCAGTCCACCTCTAGAATATGTATTTTCACAATAACTCTGAAGCCCGGCTTTTATGGCTGATAAAATTGATGTTAATAATTTAGAAAAGAGGTTTCGTGGACCACTTGGAAGACCCAGCAATATAACTTTGTTTGTAAGGACACTTATATAGTTTAGGTATCCAATACAGTGAAGGGAGATCCAGTTCTTCATCTTTGGTTGAAATTCCAAAGGTACATAGAGCATTTAACGGCTTTTTATTTTGTAGACGCTCGTTTGGTTATGGAGAACAATAACATGTGTGTATTTGGCTTTTAAGATTTTATGTTCTTCGATAAAGCTCCTGAGGGTCATTCAGAAGCACATGTCGTGTGCAATGAAATCGGTAAACTACGAATATATTACTGCTGTTGGACGGTCAGTTACCTTTCTGCATCATTGCTGTTCAATTAGCTGCTTTGACATTGGCGTTATTTAAATGCTTCATTTTGACCGTAAATTTTTGATTATTGATCAAGTGATATAACAGTTATAACTAATGTACATAATTTTAGCTATAATGGTTTACTTTTACAAATTGTGACTTGGATGGAGAGTTGTCTCATTGGCACTCATACCACATCTTCTTATATCTATGTATCAACCCCACCAGGCAAAGTTGTTCTTAGTTTGACTTTTTTTGATAATAGATATAAGAAGATGTGGTATGAGTGCCAATGAGACAACTCTCCATCCAAGTCAAAATTTATAAAAGTAAACCATTATAGTATGTCGGATTTTGTTTTCATGCTGGAAAATGTGGAATGTATTTGCTATTTTTCTCTTTAGCATTACAGAAGAAACTTGTGTAAACTGAAAACTGTACCATATGTTTGTATTATCAACGTGCACTGAAAGCTGTTGGTATGATCATTGAATACGTCGAAAAAATCTATTCAATCAAAAGATTTTTTTCTTTTTCTTATGTTCATCAACATGACGGGTACTTTTATTGAAAAAAATATCTTTTAGCCTGTTGACCCCATGTTGTTTTCTTTTCTTTTTTTTGGGGGGGGGGGGGTTACATTTTCAAACGGTGGTGTTGAAAGGTACGTCTAGTTTTTCTATTCTACTCTATCATGTTGGCGCAAGTCCTGGTAGTCTGTGCATGTACTGATGGTTTATATTCTGTTAATGTGTATAGACGTCTACCAAACTGCTACGTATAATACCTTGTCACCGAGTTTGACTTGTTGTTGGATTTTAACATTACACTGTGTGTAACAACGAGAAAAGAATTGGATACCAAAGTTTTTAGAATGGTTCGTGTTGCTAAATATTTAGGTCTCGTTCTATTTTTATTTGATTGGTTTTTTTTTCTTTTGAAAATTCGTTCCTTTTCTTCCAGTCATGGTGTCAGTCCTACGATTTTTGTCCCTCCCCTAGTATTTACATTAGTACTTTTTTCATCAATATAAGTTAAGAAAAAATCATAAACGAATGTTTAGAATTGTGAGAATTATACAATTTCTCTCCCCTAAATACTTATAAAGCTGTATTTCCGTTTCAGGTTGTTTGTAAAAAGCAAAATAACAAAAATACCGAACTCCAAGGAAAACTTAACACCGAATGTCCTTTATCAAATGGCAAAATCAAAAGCTCAAACACATCAAACGAATGTAAAACAATTGTCATGACTTGGTACAGGCATTTCCTGATGTAGAAAAAAAACCAATTGAATTTTGAAGTTTTGAATTGAATTCCGATATCGATTCATTTTTTTAAAAATATGAATCACTACAAGATACATAATAGCAGGCATAGACATGTAGATGCATTTTCACTTTGTTCCCACACTTTTATATGGCTTACAATGAAGAAACCGTTGCTGAATTATATCTACTGTTATTTACAATCACCGATAGTAGAGGCTTGCATGATTTCATGTTAGTAGGTAATAAGTATTTTGAGTTAGCTTTCATTTAATGCGAACATTCCTTGATACGGTATTGCATCCGTAAAATTATCTTATAACCACACGTTGAAAACCTACGTATAAAACCAAACGTTTCACACATTTAAACGTTTAAAACAGACACATATATGTCATAAGTCAGAGAGAAACCGACAAAATCATAACAAAAAACGAAGAAAAGACAGAAAGAACAACTGTCTACAAAACACTGCATTCAAAATTGAAGACTGACCAGCACAAATTTAGATTTCATTGAAAATGGAATTTATCGAAAATATTATTTGTAATATTTCTTGAAGAAAAATAGACATAATTCGTTTAAACCACCTTTATCAAGATTATGTAGGTTAATATACTAATCTACAACAATTTAAAATTCAAAATAGGTACATAACCTACAGCGCTGGACATAACATCGTCAGCTCCACTTATTAATGTATTACGCCACATGTTCAAATTCTTTCAAAATGTTTAATCAACATACCATTTTATCAGTAATTTTTTTCTTAGTTATCTCAGACAGGCACGATAGTCTGCATTCAATATCATCATGTAACATTTTTATTGGAGTTGGCATTCACCATCGATTTATTATTGTTCAAGAATTTGACCTCCTGACTACGAAATTAAACAGACAGAACGTAATTAACAAGCAACGTTTTCAATTAACAATAGCGTCAGATTAATAATTTTTATGAACAATAATGACTCTTGATGACAGATGAGAAATGTTACCAATATATTGCATTATCCTTATTATGTAGTTAAAGTTGATGATCTATAGATACTATTTCAGTTGCCTGATCGAGCATCATAGTAGTAAGTCTACTTAACTGATGAAATGACATTCATTGATATTTTCATTGTGACAGTATTGTGCTTTATTAGTGTCACATCAACGAATGAATGGAATCCAATTAGGAATACACTGTATGGTGAAATTCGTGGGAAAGTAACGTCTAGGCTCTCTGGAAAACATGTCGAGGAATATCTTGGAATACCATACGCTTCGCCACCAATTGGATTACTACGGTTTGAGGTAAGCTGATTTATTTGATTTAATGTAGTATGGGAATCTTGTGCCACATTGAATTGCAAATAACAGCAATAAATTGGTGAAAGTTGTTATTGAAATAAACACATTTTTTTCTGAAACTTTTGCTTTATAAGGGGAGATAACTAAAATACATAAAATAAACTTGGCCTTTTTTACACAGGCTGGTCTGACGATTTTGTGCAGAGTTATGGTCATTGAACTTAGAAAATTCACTCAAATAATTAGTTTTCCTCATTTTTTCGTCATGCTTGAAGATATTGATATGATAATTGGTACATAGTTTTATCATGACAAGTTACAGATCAATTTTGAATTTTGTTCCGGTTTGACAATTTTGTGCAGAGTTATGGTCCTTGGACTTAGAAAATTCACTCAAATAATCAGTTTTCCGCACTTTTTTTTGTCATGCTTGAAGATATTTATTTGATGATTGGTATATAGTTTTATCATGACAGGTTACAGATTAAGTTTGATTTATGGTCCGGTCCAATGATTTTGTGCAGAGTTATGGTCCTTGGACTTAAAAAATTCACTCAAATAATCAATTTTCCACATTTATTTTTCGTCATGCTTGAAGATATTGACTTGATATTTGTTATATAATTTACACCATGACAAGTTATAGATCAAGTTAGCATTTTGTTCTAGTACAATGAATTTTGAACCCGTAGGGGACTATGTATTGTCAGGCAATACTCACAGAATGCTTGTTAAATAGTCCGTTTCTATGTATGTTGGCGTCTGTTTTTGTTGCAGTTCAGCGTTTCTGTTGTTCCGTTGTTTTCCTCTTATAGTTGATGTTTTTCCCTCGGTTTTGGTTTGTGACCTGGATTTGTTTTCGCTTAATCGATTTATGACTATTGGACAGCGGTATACTACTGTTGCTTTTATTCATTCTTAAAAACAATAAATGTAGCACAAACATATAATCAATTTTGCAAACGCAATTTCAACATAATTTAAATCTTAGCTGCTAATGGACTAGCGTAATTCAGTTCAAACATGAAATGTGTCCTTGTATTTATTGTGAATAATAATATCAATTGGATCAAATAATAAGACCAACATTATTGTACCAAAAACCACCTTATTGTCGAAATAGTGCTGAAATATTATAGTCCAGCAATTTATAGTAAGAAGTTTTCTTTTTATTTGCTAGTTAACCTGTTAATTCTAATGCATCGATACCACTTTTTCCTCTTGATACAATTTAAGTCGAATGAGACCTCGTGCAGTGTTGTGAATACTACTCATGTGAACGTCATTTCACCTTTTTCCTTATTTCAGAGGAATTGTTTTACTTTTTTACGTCAAAGTAAAATGTTCCGGATGCAACTAGTTTGAAGAGCACTCACTTACAACATATAGTGAGTTAACATTTTTGAGTTTGAAAGCTGAAGATTTATAATGTACACAGTGCTACATAATAAAAAAAAGTGGACTGATGTGAAAATAATATAAAGTTAACTCAAATTAATGATATCACAGAGTAATTTATAAAATTTGCTGGATAAACTTGACATTCACTACACCAATCTTGAACACCAACGAATGTTGAGCTTACTCAGTATCCTAATAAAATAATTTACTAGCTTCATCTCATAAAGGCTGTCTTCTAGTTTTTAAATTGTCTTTGCAAGAATGATTGAAAGCATGTTTTCGCAATATCTCGCATTTATTATTATGATATTCAATGCAAGTACTTCTCTTTGTACTAATTGTTCAAACGAAACTTTTTGTTTTCATTTTCAGCGCACTGTTCCACCTGTAAAATGGTCTGGCATTAAGGATACAGTTTCTTTACCCCCTGCATGCTTACAATACGGATCTGAGTACATACATGTTCACAGAGAAGGTTTCAATGAGTTTGATGAAGACTGTTTATATATGAATATATATGTTCCAAAAGTAAGTATATTATACGAAATAAAAAACTAAAAATCTCTGTTTATCATATGAAGTACCTTGTTGTGTATTTTTGGATTAAGTAAAGAACTCTATTAATCATGGTTTACCAGAATTGTATTACAAGATTCTGCTTTTAAAATGTTTCTTATACCCACCAGTAGCTGCTGTATATTTTCCATTCAGTAAAAAATTCAAAACAATTTCGTATTTCCATTTCATATGGATAATATTGAATGACCCTAACATTCTTCTTGCTTTTGACAGATTAAGCAGAAATCATTACCGGTGTTGTTATATGTACACGGAGGATCTAACATTGCAGGTATGGGCGCCATGTTGGATGGAGATGTTCTTGCAGCACATGGGGAAATCATCGTATTAACATTTAATTACAGGCTTGGTATATATGGTAAGAAGTTTGGTGGAAGATTTGAAAAAACAACACAATTTTATTATGCTAACAAGGGTTTCCTTTTATTCACTACATTTTTTTTGTCTCGCTTTTGCCGAGCAGTTGGTTATTTTATCATTGGCAACTTGTGGTTGGCTGGTTCAAACCTCTTCTCTAGTTAAAATGAATTCAATGATGACGTGAAATCATAGTTTCCAGCCGTATTTGGTATATATATCTAAAGTGGAATACCCCTGAATATTGTGCAACATGACACCATATTGTTTGCTCTTTTATGGGGTAAATCAAAATAGCAAGGTCGGAGGAAAAGCTATCCAATAAAATTCAAAACGGAAAGTCCCTAATCAAATGGCAAAATCAAAAGCACAAACACATCAAACGAATGGACAACAACTGTCATATTCCTAACTTGGTACAGGTATTTTCTTATGTAAAAAATGGTGGATTGAACCTGGTTTTTTAGCGCTATACCTCTCACTTGTATGACAGTCGAATCAAATTTCATTATATTGACAACGATACGTGAATAAAACAAACAGACAAAATAGGTAAAAATGTCAAAATAGGGGTACAGCAGTCAACGCCGTGTCACAATTAACAATTTAACAACCTCGTTCATTGCTTACTTATTTCTGTATTTTATTTTTTCAACTGGTACTTATCAACCAAATTTGCGACATTATAGAGAAATCTGATACTGCTTAGTTTAATTAGTCCATTTATTACAGAGAAGGGCATGTAGATCGGCAAAATCTTAGAACAAGCCCTTTTCTTTAGAATACAATCCCACTACAGATAATTATATTTTATAAGAGACAAAAAACTTCATGGCTCGAATATCTGTCAATTCTTCATAATGAAAATTGTGTCTGTTACAAACATATGAACATTCAAGAATTGTACACGTGGGAGTGCCCGTTTGAATGGTTTTACACTAGTAATTTTTTGGGGCCCTTTATAGCTTACTGTTCGGTGTGAGCCAAGGCTCCGTGTTGAAGACCGTACCGTGACCTATAATGGTTTACTTTTATAAATTTTGACTTGGATGGAGAGTTGTCTCATTGGCACTCATACCACATCTTCTTATATCTATATATGTGCTGAAATTACAAAAACATAAAAACAGTGTATTTTTTAAAAATTTTATTATTGAACATGAATAATGTAAAATTTAGATTGACCATCATCGTGATATCAATCCAAAACGTGTTGAACCATGCCCAATAAAAGGGAGAGACAATTGACGAATTATTATTCATGAAACGCCAAAAAATATCACAACATTTATATATGTATCCTTAATATGTCGTGTATTTTTGCAATAGTGCCACAACAACTATCACTTGCACTTGCGACTTTCCATTCCTTGACGACCCTATAGGTCCATTGTTTTCTTAGTTTTTTTATAGTTTTTTGGTAGAAGGATTTGTTTATGCAGAAATAAGAGGGTTTTTGTCCCCGGCGCAACGCGTTGCAGTTGACATAGAAATACCGTCCCTTCCGTCCGTCCGGTCTTGTTAGCACTCCCACGTGTACAATTCTTGCCTCATTTTTATGAAATTTATATCATAGGTTTATATCATCAATATATTTGATAAAGTTCGAAAATCAGTGCCGATCAATTATTTTTGTCCCCCGCATAACGTGTTGCGGGGGACATTGAAATACCGTCTGTCCGTCCGTCCGTCCGGTCTTGTTAGTCATCTCGCGTGTACAATTCTTGCAAGATTTTTATGAAACTTATATCATAGGTTTATATCAGCAATGTCTTGGACAAGTTGGAAAATCAGTGCTGATCAATTATTCTAAAAAGAGTTATGCCCCTTGAACAATTAATTATATTGAAAATTGCATCGTTAGCGCTCTCATGTGTACAATTCTTGCCAGATTTTTATGAAATTTATATCATAGGTTTATATATCATCAATAACTTCGAAAATAGGTGCTCATCAAATATTGTTAACGAGTTATGCCCCTTGGAAATATTAATTATCACGGAAATCGCATTACATTTGCTCTGAATCCTCATTTCTCTAAGATATTTATAAAAAAAAATTAAAGAACAAAAAAAAAGTATTTTTAGCTATTGCCCTTATACCTGGGATAGATAAAATATGAAATATGTCCATCGCGGGGGGGGGGGGGGGGGGGGGGACATTGGAACTCTGTTCTTTAATTTTTTTTATTTCATGATCAGATATGGATTCTTTAAAGTATTCACTTCGACGGTTCCATCATAACCGTATTTTTCTTCAGGGAAATTATTAGTAGAAGTAAACTGAGTATCTACATAATAAGCTCTGAGATCTGCTATTCCTTGTTTATCTGAGAGAGTTGCAGTAATATTCTTCTAATGATAAATGTTTACTGAATATTTGTAATCTGTTAATTGTGTTCAAAAAATGGAAAACTCTAGATATGAGAATTCTCTTAACAAATTTATATGTTTATATTCATAAAGGTTTTTATGCAGACAAAAGTAAAGGAATTGAAGGTATATACGGTTTGTTAGACCAGTTACAAGTAATGAAATGGGTTAATCAAAACATCAAGTATTTTAACGGCGATCCAGATAAAGTTACCATCCATGGTCATAGCTTAGGGGCTTCAGATGTTGGACTTCATATTGTTTCCAATCTGACAAAAGGTAAATTTTAAGAAGTATGTTCGTTATATTTTCATTTACATTGTATGTTTGCAAGGAATATCTTTAATTTTGAAACAACGACAGAAGATTTTATAGTATTTCTTAAGAAAAACAAAAGTAAAACAATTTGAAATGCTCCATTTTGAATTGGTCAACACTATGAGATGAACCAGAGCAAAACTATAGTCATTATTAATTGTATATATGGAAAAAAAAACAATTCCTTCCAAATACCGTTTCGATTCCTAACATCACTGAAGAGACATTAATTGTCGAAATCCGGATATGGCGTACAAATTTTTGCACCTCATGTTTGCGGTATACCATCTTTTCTACAAGTTTATTGTTTTCTGTTTGGTAATAAATTTATAATAAGATCTATTTTGTTACATCTTGTGATCCGTTTATTTGGCAATCGCCAATGACAGTCAGCAGAGTTTAAGAACATCAGTTGGTCGACCTGCTAGTCAAATGCGTTTTGTTAAAATAAACTTTTTCACTCATTTGGTCTTTTGGAAAATATTGTTTGTGCTGTATTTAGACTCCTCTACCAAGAAATTTGTTTTGCATGCACACGTATAAAAATTGCAGTTTTTATCAAACGCAATCATAGGTTTCAACGTTGTTTTCAATTTAGACTTTCTTATATTTTTTCGTTTGGGCTAGTATTATATTTGCCTTCGGACTTATATGATCTGTTCATCCTATTTTGACTCTTTCAAAATTCAAGAGTCTATACTAAATTGAGGTAAATTATATGGCCTTCCAAATACCGTTTCGATTCCTAACATCACTGAAGAGACATTAATTGTCGAAATCCGGATACGGCGTACAAATTTTTGCACCTCATGTTTGCGGTATACCATCTTTTCCGCAAGTTTATTGTTTTCTGTTTGGTAATAAATTAATAAATAAGATCTATTTTGTTACATCTTGTGATCCGTTTATTTGGCAATCGCCAACGGCAGTCAGCAGGGTTTAAGAACATCAGTTGTTCGACCTGCTAGTCAAATGCGTTTTGTTAAAATATACTTTTTCACTCATTTGGTCTTTTGGAAAATGTTGTTTGTGCTGTATTTAGACCCCTCTACCAAGAAATTTGTTTTACATGCACACGTATAAAAATTGCGGTTTTTATCAAACGCAATCATAGGTCTGAACGTTGTTTACAATTTAGACTTGTGTATATATATATATATATATGTTATGAAATAATTTGCATATCGGAAAAATAGTGTCAAATTATTTAAGACCTATACAAAGTTGATTAACAACTTCTGGGAGTGTATTATACGATATATATCTGAGTCTTAAGAAAGAAAGAAAACAACCGACTAACCTTTCAATTGTCCGATCGACTGGAAATGACGATTCTACACATTTCTTCCCTTTGTCGTCATAATCAGACGATCAACATTTCTCTACGCATTCGCCTGTGTGTTATTCTTGATTTTGACAATTACGAACTATTAAATAAAAGTTAAATACCATAATGAATTGAAAAAATCATTAAATCTCAAATAAATTCGTGCTAGAGAAAGAAGGCAATGGCCACCACACACACAATTATAAATAGGTAAAGTTTTTCCATACAGTTATAGGAGTAGTCCCTTTCGAAATAATTTATAGGTTGTAAATTTTAAGTGGTATTTAATTTTTGTCGAAATAAATATTTATATTGTAGCTGTCAATAACTGTTTAATATCATTACATTATAGGACTCTTTAAAAATGCCATCATACACAGCGGTTCACCAATTGCCTATTGGTTTTTATCTGACTGTATAAGAACCAGTAGAAAGACATCATTACCCGTAGATTGTAGACCTGGGACAACTCGGGTAAACAATGAATTCAACCCAATACATAATAAATTGACGAACATATCTATAGAAATGTTAAATACAGGTCTGACCAAGGTAAGTAGTGACATACACATTTATAAATTAAGATAGATTTTTCTCATTTTCGAAGTAAATATCGGTTATTGATTTGGGGATGTACGGCGGTCGGGCGGGCGGGCGGACGGGCGGCTGCCAAACAGTGTCTCTTCAATAACATGAAAACGCTGTGATGATATTTTTTTCAAATTTAGATATGTTGTTTCTTGTGACTAAATGAAGGTTAAGTTCAATTTTCACGATTTTAGTATTTCTCCTTTTTGAGTTATCACCATTTTTAATATCCAAAAGTGGTATTTTAAATATTTTTCTCTTGTTATCATATCATGACTAAGCAGATAGTAAATGTCTTATCTCACAATTACAATTGGAGTGACAGATTTATTTGAAAATTTTCTAATTCCTAAGTGGTGATGATTATAAGCTATATTATTAGACATTTTGAAGTTAATTATTATTACATATGTAATGTTAGAGTACTATGTTAAACCATAGTTCTGTTCAAAGCTAAAGGGAATGAATAACCCTTCAGATTTGCAAGTATGATTTTCATTATTAATTAGATCTGGGAAATATCTTAGCATATGATAATCATTGGAGTGACAGATTTATTTGAAAATTTTCTGTTTCCTGATAAGATTTGTAGGACTGTATATATAAAGTTTGAAATTAAATAGTAGGACTGTATAATGAAGTTTGAAATTTACTGTTCATTATTAGACATTTTGTAGATAATTAAGTCTCCCTAATCCATATATATATATATTCTTACCCCCACCCCCTTCAATTTGAGAATGTGCTTTTATCTTGTAAACAGTCGAGATCCCCATCCCTAAACCATATATATTCTTGTATGGGACAAATCAAATGAAATATGGGGGGAGTCCCCGGGTTCACCCCCACCCCTTCTTTTTGAAAACTTGTAAACGGTCAAGATCCCCACCCTGAAACTATATATATTCTTGTATGGGACAATAAAACAAATCAAATAAAATAAAAGGCGAGTCCCTTGGGGTCATCCCCCACCCCCTCCTGTTTGAGAACTTGTAAACGGTCGAGATCCCCACCCCTAAACCATATATATTTTTGTATGGGACAATAAAACAAATCAAATGAAATATAGGGGAAATCCAGGGGGTCACCCCACCCCCTTCTTTTTGAAAACTTGTAAACGGTCAAGATCCCCACCCAAAACCATATATATTCTTGTGTGGGACAATGAAACAAATTAAATGAATTATAGGGGAAGTCCCCTGGGGTCAGACCCACCCCTTTCTGTTTGAGAACTTGTAAACGGTCAAGATCCCCACCCCTAAACCATATATATTTTTGTATGGGACAATAAAACAAATCAAATTAAATATAGAGGAAGTCCATGGGGGTAATTCCCAACCCCTTCTTTTTGATAACTTGTAAATGGTCGAGATCCACACCCCTAAACCATATACATTCTTGTATAGGACAATATAACAAATTAAATGAATTATAGGGGAAGTCGCCTGGGGTAATTCCCACCCCTTCTTTTTGATAACTTGTAAACGGTCGAGATCCCCACCCCTAAACCATATATATATTCTTGTATGGGACAATAAAACAAATCAAATGAAATATTGGGGGAGTCCCCGGGTTCACTCCCATCCCCTTCTTTTTGAAAACTTGTAAACGGTCAAGATCCCCACCCTGAAACTATATATATTCTTGTATGGGACAATAAAACAAATCAAATGAAATAAAAGGCGAGTCCCGTGGGGTCACCCCCACCCCCTCCTGTTTGAGAACTTGTAAACGGTCAAGATCCCCACCACTAAACCATATATATTATTGTATGGGACAATAAAACAAATCAATTGAAATATAGGGGAAGTCCATGGGGGTAATTCTCACCCCCTTCTTTTTGATAACTTGTAAATGTTCGAGATCCCCACCACTAAACCATGTATATTCTTGTATAGGACAATAAAACAAATTAAATGAATTATAGGGGAAGTCCCCTGGGGTAACCCCCACCCCCTTTATTTTGAAAACTTGTAAACGGTCAAGATTCCCACCCCGAAACCATATATATTCTTGTATGGGAAATATAACAAATCAAATGTAATAAAAGGCGAGTCCCCTGGGGTCACCCCAACCCCTCCTGTTTAAGAACTTGTAAGATCCTCACCCCTAAACTATATATATTCTTGTATGGGAAAAAAATCAAATGAAATAAAGGGCGAGTCCCGTGGGGAGCACACCCCCCCCCCCCCCCTTTAAGAACTTGTAAAAGGTCAAGATATCCACCCCTAAACCATATATATTCCTGTTCGTCATTTCAAGAAGATTTGAATGACATACAGGGTCAATCCATAGGCGTCACATATGCATATCACAAACCAATTTGTACTGGACTTTGCCCAATGTCAGGCGACCATGGGAATGATGAATTATTGGAGCTTTGTTTGGGAGACTTCGTAACAGCATCCTGTTACAATTATTTCTTGTTACTGATAAGTTTTATAGATTTTGAAAAGACATTGTATAAATGATAAATAAAATTTTGGATTGTTTTCTTCTTTTCTTTGGTAAATTGTTTGAAGAATTGTGTGGCAAGTTTGTTTGTTATTCTGTAAAAACTATTTTTTTTTAATGCTATATATTTTTTTTTGATGAAGTGAACTCCTTTAAAAACTAATCTTATATTGCCTATAACTATTAATTAACATATATTTAGATTTCTGATTTTGGGCCCAGTTTTCAAGTTGGTCTAAATCGGGGTCCAACATTAAACTGTCAGTGTTTGATTTCAACATAAATTGAATATATATAGGGTTCTTTGAAATGTTTGATCTAAACCTGTATTTCTTTTCATTATTAATAAGATAATACCACATTGAGGTCCAAAGGGTCCTAAATTAAACTTTTGTTTAATTTCATCAAAAAATGAATTCTTTGGTTCTTTGATATCCTGATTCTAACAATGTTTGAGTGTTAAATCATATCTAATTTTAGAGAACTTAGTCATCACTGGTTGTTGTTATTATATTATTGATTACAATTTGAAAAATTGCGTTATATCTTATTTTAGAGAACTATTCATCCAGTTTTAGTTATTTTCCTTTGCACAGAAAATATTATGGATAAAATTAACCTTTGTTTCATTTCAAAATAAATTAAATATATATAGGGTTCTTTCAAATGCTGAATCTAAACCTGCATTTAAATATTAGATTTTGGGCCCAGTTTTCAAGTTGGTCCAAATCAGAATATGGTCAAATTGTTTGATTCAACAAAAAATGAATATATGGGGTACTTTGAAATGCTGAATCTAACCATGTATTGAGAGATTTTGGATTATGGGCTCCTTAATCAAATTGGTCCACATTGAGGTCCAACGGGTCCTAAATTAAACTTTTGTCTGATTTCATCAAAAATTGAATTCTTGGGGTTCTTTGATATGCTGATTCTAATATGTACTTAGATTTTGGATATTGGACCATAATAGGTAAATGTCCAATTTCAAATATTTTAGTTCTTTGACCACATTCATTTTGTGTCATAAACCTATGCTGTGTCAAATATTCAAACACAATCCAAATTCAGAGCTGTTTTAAGCTTAAATTTAGTGTCCATACTTGCTCAACTGTTCAAGGTTCAACCTCTGCAGGAAAATCCCGTTTGCTGTCACTCTGACAGCCTCTTGTTATTCTTATTTTCACAACAATTAATTACAACCCCTTCTTCCTTGAACAATAATTGGTCAAAGAGTTTTCAGCCGCCTATCTTTCAAATTGAAGACAGAAACGTGAGAGATGAATCTGTTGTAAAAGTGAACAACGGCTTTTTTTTTTTTTTTTATCTTTCGATTTTTGTGTCTTTCGGTTGCTGTTTAAATGACGTATACCCCGTTTACCTTTTAATTCATTCATATATACATTATTAAGATATAAGCGAGACCTTGTTTTTATGAAAAATCACACTATATATGCTATTTAAACAGGCATTTAGGTGATAGTCAAGAGTCCGAAATTGTTACTTCAAGGACGATTGTTGTAAAACACAATAACATGTCTAAATTCTGGGTATTTTTCTTTACAATATCATTTTGATCGATTTAATTTATTGTACTTAATTCATGTTTTATCTTTAATGGTATTCTGGTTTCAGGACATAACATTTGGAACATATCCAATAACTATAGACGGATATTATACAGCAGAGAGTCCAGAAGTGGTGTATCGATGTGAAAACAATATTCATGCAGAATCAGTTTTATTGGTGTTGTCGAGAGATGAATTATTTCCATACAGTGAGTAAGTAATAGGATTTCAGTATGCTGTAGACAATATGTTGCTTTCTCTATTATTATGGAGGCGCTTTCAGAGTATAAGTAGTTCATCTTCAGCAACCACAAGCCTGTCAACACTGAGGTTTTGAGTTCGAACCCCGTCGTGGCAGGCGCGTTCGACTCCGATCTTAACTGACTAGGTCGATGGTTCTTTCCTGGCACTCCAGCTTCCTCCACAAATAAAAACCGACCCTTAGTTTATTTATTTTGTAGTTACATTGTATCATACGTCAAATTTATTTGTTCAGTGTTTGTTTACTGGTGTTAATATGTCCTTTGATTAAGTTAAGCTATTTCAGTTGATATTTTATAGTGTGTCTTTCTATGTTGTGATGTTACACTATTGTTTCAGAAAAAGGGTGAAGGTTTGGTACCATTAAAACGTTTAAACCTGCTGCATTTGTTTGCACCTGTCCTAAGTCAGGAATCTGATGTTCAGTAGTTGTCGTTTGTTGATGTGGTTCATAAGTGTTTCTCGTTACTCGTTTTTTATATAGATTAGACCGTTGGTTTTCCCGTTTGAATGGTTTTACACTAGTAATTTTTGGGGCCCTTTATAGCTTACTGTTCGGTGTGAGCCAAGGCTCCGTGTTGCAGACCGTACTGTGACCTATAATGGTTTACTTTTATAAATTTTGACTTGGATGGAGCGTGGTCTCATCGGCACTCATACCACATCTTCTTATATCTACTCACGATATAGCCTAGAGTACTGAATGCGGCGTTAAGCACCAACAATTAATCAACCAATGAATCAGGCTTCATTTGATTGGTTTTTTTTCTTCTTCATATCCCTAATAATTAGACATGTTATGAAAAGGTATACTTGTATACTCGACGCTGATGTTGACAAATTATACTTTAAAAGTGGGGACTGTGTCAAAAACATTGATTATCGATTTAGACCGGCAACATTCAAATCCCATGCGTGATGTTGACCAGTTATGTCCGGACTGTTTTTGCTAAATGTTTTTCTGCTTTGTACTGATCTGATGAGTTAAGCCCTTTTCAACTGATTTTTATAGTTTGTTCTTATGTTGTGCTGTAACACCACTGTCCCAGGTTAGGGGGACATTGATTATCGATTTAAACCGGCAACATTCAAATCCCCTGCGTGATGTTGACCAGTTATGTCCGGACTGTTTTTGCTAAATGTTTTTCTGCTTTGTACTGATCTGATGAGTTAAGCCCTTTCAACTGATTTTTATAGTTTGTTCTTATGTTGTGCTGTAACACCACCTTCCCAGGTTAGGGGGAGGGTAGAGCGCTCACAAACATGTTTAACCCCACCACATTCTTTATGTGCCTGTCCCAAGTCAGGAGCCTGTAGTTCAGTGGTTGTCGTTGGTTTATGTTTGTCATATTTGTTTTGCGTAAATTATTTTGTTATAAATTAGGCCGTTTGTTTTCTAAATTGAATTGTTTCATATTTTTCATATCGGGACCTTTTATAGCCGACTATACGGTATGGGTTTTTGAAGGCCATACGGTTGTTTATAATTGCTTGCATCCACTTTATTTGAACTTTGGTGGATAGTTGTCACATTGGCAATCATACCTCATCTCCTTATTATATATTAATATAGATATATATATGTCCCAACAAAATTCAGATTTTTTATGTGTGATATCATTTGTTTATACTTCCAGCGTCAACAGACGTGGAGTTTGATATGACCACCATCAAAGGGTTTATACAGCACTATCAACAACTGTTTCCTAACGACGATCAGTTTGCAAGTATATATTTTATTTAGTAGCTTTTGAGCTTAATATGTTAATACATTTGTGCTTGCAAACGCATTTAGTTCTACAATTACCCATTATTCATATGATGTTGATGATAATTTTGTGTTTTACGTCCAGTGAAAAATATTTCATGCACATAAAGAGGAGAACCTGTTTGTGTGACATGAATATGATTACTGATTTGAATTAAACTGACACACGCTGCGCCAGATTTTTAAGGTGCTAGTTAACAAGGTCAGTCGAATGACATGTCACCTTACCCGGCCTATTATTCTGAGTCCAGCTTTTTCCCCTTTATCATAAATGCCGTAACATTTATAGAGAAGGAGCACATACTAGTTTTTTTAAGTTTTTGGTTTGATCAGGTCCGGAATCGAACATACGCAACTCGCATTCAAGGCGAACATCGAGATGGTTCATAATATCACATGCTTCATTCGGTATACTGAGAAAAATTATCGTGAAAAATTAACTTACGGTGGTCTATCATTGCGATCGGATCGTGAAAGATCTGGTATCGGATCGTGAATGCAAATAAGTGTCATTCTACTTCAAAATCTGTGAAAAATCTGCTGTATTTTCAAAATGTGGAACAAATCCTTAAGAATACTGTGCACTAAGTTAAAGAAAAAATGCAGTACTTTTAAAGAAAACACAACAGGCGACACTCAAACCTATGAGAATCATTGAGAAAAAAAATCACGTTTTGTATCTATTATGGTCACATTCCAATATATCATAATGTATTTGAAACTTAATCTTTAGTGTGTCACGTTGTCCAGTAAAATAAGTATGTAATTACTTGAAAAAGTCCATATGATTTTTGAAAAAAGTATAATTTTGACCTGTTTTCATATTTGAGTCAATTTGCTACATGTAACTAGACATCCAAGATAATAAGACCTCCAGAAGCGTAAATATCTTTGTAAGTATAATACTGAATGCATCCACGAATGAGTGATGCGAGAGGGAGTCTGATGGATCTTAATGTGTACGTTTATGTTTTCGTAAAGGTTAGATCAAAGAAGCTATATCATTTGATTTTATATACAGGTGTATTGAAGATGTTCTTTCCATTAACAATACAAACTTTTCTAATTGGGTCCCATTAATAGTCATGAACCAGAGAAAATAGACACCACATATACAGCTTCCTCAGCCTCATATTTAGACATTTACCCCGTATTTGACTACAGCGGTCATCTAAATGTCAGAGTCTATGACACACGAGATGATTTTACTTTTGAAATTATGAATTTTCCTCACCTTAGCATCAAATTATCAACTTCATTGGCGTAGGGAGTAAACATTTCTTAACTCATACGATTTTCAGAAGCTTGCAGCTGCTACTCAAAGTTTGTAAAAAGTCATCAGTGTCTGAGCAAAAAATTAATGAGCCAAGTTTTTGTGAAATAACGTCTCCTCCTTATTCTCAGAAAGTTCATTGGAAAGTACCAAGACCTAATACTAATAGATAAATATTCAGGGTCTTCTTAACAAATAATACAGGATGGTTTTGAGTGATAGATTCTAAGTGCTGACTATGTGTAGCATTTGAACTACTTTACAGTTTTACCTTTATTTGATTTAGTACTATTGTGTTCCATTTGGTCGTATGACTCTTAACGTGGTTCGGTTTATGTGCATGTAGCTGTTTTTGGCTTTTGGCTTTCGGCGTTCCTTATGCGGGTGGGTCCAGAGATGCAATTCGGACATTTGAGGTTTTTATAGTGTTGCTTTCATGTTGTATACCCTTGTATTTATATTTTACTCTTTTTGTATTTTATCGAGAAAGTGTATATGTCATTATGTACGGTGCCCATTAAGTGCCATGTAAATATAGATATTTTCGTTTGACGGAGAAATATTACCAGGTTAAAACCATCATTTTTGTTTTGGAAAATGACTGTGACAAGTCAGGAATGTGACAGTTGTTTTCCTGCGTTTTTTTTCAATTTTTACAAAATCAACAGGATCTTCGTTTTATAGATATAACAAATTTATAGAAATCAGACGAGACAATCTTAACTTTTCAAACGAACATAAAACTTATGCAGGAAGGACAGACGGACTTATTTTGTCATTAGAAGACTAGTTGGTGTGGTAAGCTTTGATAGTTTTCGTTGATTTTTGCAATAACGAATAAGCGGCAACAGATCTTTCACGATCCAATCGCAATACTTGGCCACCGTTTCTTATCATTTCACGATCGTTTTTTCTCGATATACCGGATGACAGCCGTGTTGATATATTGTGAGAGGAAAGTACTAATCCGGCTGTTCATTAGCAGCCACTATTTGACCCAGATTTGATTACCTTTCTGGTGCATCTTAATTAACCTCTGAAGAAAAAGGCTGAGTTATTTTATTTAAATCAGTCACTGTACATATTTATTTTCTGGTATATTGTATATTTTATCGCTTTGCTTACATTTTTATGCCCCCGCCGTAGCGGAGGGAGCATTAAGTGTTATCCTTGTCCGTCTGTACGTACGTCCGTCCGTACGTCCCAAAGTTGATTTCCGTTCTCTAACTTTAGTTTGCCTCAACCAAATGTAATGAAATACACAATGCTTATTACCATAAAATACATATCAAGTTCGAAATTGGGTGGCGTCACTTTTACCATTCTTGAGTTATGCCCCTTTCTAAACATAAAAATTGCTGAATTTTTCGTTTCCGTTCTCTAACTTTAGTTTGCCTCTAGCAAATGTTATGAAACTTATACAGAATGCTAATCACCACATAATACAGATCAAGTTTGAAATTGGGTGGCGTCACTTATACCGTTCTTGAGTTATGCCCCTTTATAAACATAAAATTTGCTGAATTTTTGGTTTCCGTTCTCTAACTTTAGTTTGCCTCTACCAAATGTTATGAAACTTATACACAATGCTTATTACCACAAAATACAGATCAAGTTTGATTTTGGTGTATCACTTTTACCGTTCTTGAGTTATGCCTATTTACAAATGGAAAATTTGCTGAATTTTTCGTTTCTGTTCTCTAACTTAAGTTAGCCACAACCAAATGTTATGAGACTTATACACAATACTTATTACCACAAAACTCAGATCAAGTACAAATTTGGGTAGCATCACTTTTACTTTTCTTCAGTTATGTCCCTTTAAAACTGCATTATGATATGCAAGCGGGGGCATCATCTGTGTCCCATGGACACATTCCCCATTTATTTTTTTTTAATTTCCATTTTTATCTTTTCATTGAGATGTTTGCTATGATGGTAGAACATTCATTGTATAAAGATACTTTAATATAAGCCTGGTATATTTCATGGGTGTTTGTAACCCCTTGGTCGATGCCAACGAGAAAGTTTCATCCCTATGGGTATCACCACCCAAGCAGTCACATAATCTTTGCACACATAAAGTAAAGTATCAAGGATACGTTATTTCCTTTAAATTTTACTGTTAACAAAGTGCTTCAATTATTCGAAACGAAAGTTTTTCTCCCGCAAGTATAGATAGCCTACGACATATTTAACACAACTTTTGTTTTAATTGTTCTTCAACTGAATTTGCCTTCTTCCAATTGTTTTGATTGGAGCACCGTTGATGAGTCTTATGTAGACCCAAACCCTTCGTCTGGCGTACTAATTTTAAGCCTGGTATCTTGGAGGATATATTTGTTAAATAATTTAACTGGTACTCTGAATATCAATAAAAGGAGATGTGATATATACTTCCAAATGAACATATGTGTCGGAGTTAAATAAAAGGCATCAGTAGTTTAAGGATGTTAAAACTTTTTATAAAAATAAGAAGAGGTGGTACGATTGCCAGTGATACAACTATCCACCAGAAACTAAAGGACTAGTATGTAAACTATAGCACAGTACGTTCTTCAACAAAGCACTAATTCATTTTGAATATACATACCAATATACAGTTTATCTTTATTTCAACTATTACCCTTTAATTCCCAATCAATGAAATCATAAAAGGAGCATTTTATGTATAAGAATTTGATTCATTACAGATAATGCAAATCTAGTTTACAATGAATGGAAACAAAGTAATGTTTTACCATTTCCTCAGGTAAGTGGTCATTGGCTATCATATGTTGAGACAGTAAATTATAGAGCTTTAGCAGTTGATCTATTAGTTAATCATTCGGGTGATTGAAGTATGCAAATTAATGCACAGTTTTTAACGAAGTTAACAAAGTTCATACACACAAAATTTATTACATTTACTTCAATTGACGCCAAACAATACAACGTTGTAACAAAAATTCAAAACGTCTTACATAGTACCTTATGATATATAATTACCCTATGTTGTATTTGTATATACGACAAAAATAAAATAACATTAATGGAACCAATTTTACCGCACCAGACGCGTATTTCGACAATTAGTGTATCTTCAGTGGTGCTAGATGCCAAAATATTTGAAAATCTACAACTTATACAAACGTTAAAGAGCTGATAAAACCAAAAGTACCTGAAGTATACATAGCCAATTCCGGACAAAGATTCAGAGCTTTGCATGATATTTTTATTAATTTTAAATGATGCCTAAAATTTATAACAACAAATTTCAATTCAGACATAATCCGCATTGTCATGCCAGTAATTGCTACATTGTATCACAATTTATAAGGTCAGAAATAACAATTTACAAAGATTGAGAAACCAAACGTCAAATACATATGTCAATCAAAGAAACGTATATAGATATGTAAAGAAGAAAAGGTTTCAGAACCACTCTCTGGTCAAAAGTAGGTTCTTCTATAAAAAAAGAAAAAAAGGAAGAGGCAGTTGATATCAAGGGCAGATTTAAAACTCATAAATCGAAAAAACTGACTACGCCATGGCAAAAAAAGGAGAACGACGAAAAGACAAACAAGTCCAAAAACACTGCACAGAAAACAAAAGTTGATCAAGATGCTCCCTACAAAGAACTTGGGGTGAGCTCAGGTGCTCCGAAAAAATACAGTTCCTGCTCCAAATCTGGCTGATGCAAGTACAAATCCGGTGAAAAGTCTCATTCGGTGATGTCACAATCGAGGAAAGGAGGATGGTATTGTTGTTATGGCAATTGTGACATATTCGTGGTCATCAGTGACAAACGGTCAACCAACTCGTGATGGAGTCCGTTAAACTTTCGACGGGATAACTTTAACTTCAACACTCTGATCCCTTGGTTCAATAACGTCCTAATAGTTAGAAAGTTTCTTTTGTGGAAATCATGATAGGAAGCTCAGGAATATTGTATCAACAAGGAGATATATACTCCATACCACTGATCAATGAATTTTAGTCTTTAACGGTCATTTGATTTAACATCAACTGAGAGGTCAGAATAATAACTTATTCAGTCATATCCCGTCTTTTAATAAATTTTCAGACTATTCCACTGTATTAAATTCAGTACTGTTCAAACAATTCGCTTGCGGTCAATTCAGTTCTGTTCATTAGCTTTTCAGACAATTCAGTATTATGTTGATGTGTACAAGTAAATAACAACTAGTAAATCTGAACATCGACTGAACAGACCTTAATTTTATAAACTGTTTATTGATGGCGTTAATACGGCTTACGCTATAAAGGATTATTTTGCGTTTTAGAAGAGAATTGACAAAATAGCCATGCAAAGCATCAAGTAAATATTGTTTTACACTGAATTATTTAGACAGTTTATTTTTAAGGGTTTTCAATCTACTTTGATTTGTTTCTTTGTGATGTCGTTCCAATTTTACATTTAGTGACTTTCAAGTAGATAATTTGGTGTAAGTTTGTTAAACAAGAAAAATGTCAGAACAATTGTGATTTTTACCAAATGGGAAGAATATATATCAGTTTTGTGTGTGTGTTTTTTCTAATAATATTTGCTTTGTTATCTCATAAAATTATATTTTCTTTCAGGTACCAAGAATGCATGCAGATCTCATTTTCTATACACCTATGATTAAATTGGCAGACATAGTATCAAGATGGTTAAACAAGACATATTTGCTCAGCTTCGAATACATTTCAGAGAAACCATCTGGACCGTTGTGGCAAGGTTAGCATAAACAATTTCCATTAATTTAACTTATACACGCCACTACCTATACACTCAAAATTAGATGAATCGTTTGTAATTGAAATAAAGAATCAGATTATATACAAACACTTCTTCAAAAGACATTATGCAAAACATTACACAGTACAATGAAAATTTTACAACATTTTCTCACCCAAAACCAAGGATGAACTCCCGCGCTCCAGCGGGCAACAAGTTTTTGTTCTATTGCTGACATATGTTTACAAATCTCGTATTTATACTTTCTGACATTATTACTGGTTTTGTTTCTGGTCGACACTTGATACTGCATACATATCTTTGGCAATGCGTTTTTTGCTGTGCAATCACGTTATTGAACGTGAAAAATTTAATGAATCGAAAGTAAAAGTCATCGAAGATTATGTGTTCCAGAGTAAACGTTTCGAATACAAAAAACTCATCCGTGGCACTCGAATCAAAGAAAGGGCAAATCAATTTAAAGAGCATTCGAAACCGAAAACTCATAGAACATTCATTAGTAGATTATTAGAATTTCAAGCAGTCAGGCAAATAACACATTGTTTTCCATTCAAGGTGTACCACATGGCTGGGACTTGTTTTATATGTTTGGTATACCACTTGTTGGACACCATATACATAATTATACAGCAAGAGATGTAGAAGTGTCTAAAACTACTATGTCATTATTAAGTGATTATGTGAAATATGGGTATGTATATGATCCCTCTTTATATTCAGTTTTTTTCGAACTGCTGTTTTCTTTGATAGGTTTATGATTTTCTCATAAGACTGATTTTTGTTATGCGAATCAAACAGTATTAAAGATGCCATTATTTTTGTTGTACTATCCAATTTCGTACCATAATATATATATGTCTTGCAAGGCCATACTATCCTTTAGATCTTTTTGAGGCAGGCGTTATGAAAACTGTAAAGCATATTTATGGCTATTAAAATGCATCTGAATTCTGTATAAAACATTTAAATGAGCTGTACTATTTTTACTGTCATTCCGTACAAGGTTTTTATATGTATGCTTTCAAAGGCTTTTCAAAATCTTCAAAGTTAATTATCAGTTGTCTTTGCCATTCTTTTCAATGTCTAATAATAGTCGATCTGTCCTTATGTAAAACCTGCCTGTTTTCTTCTGAGTTTGTTGACAATTGATGTTTTAATCTTATTTCAGTATTTTGCTGACAATTTTGCTTGGAATTGATAAAAGGGTTATTCCCATCCAATTAATGCTGTTGGTGAGACCAATGTATGATGTTTCCTTCTTACCAGTGTTTTGGTTTCTTGTTGAAATGTCAAATCTTTTTTAGTGTTGGGTGTAAAGGTTAGATCTTCTTTAAATAAATCTGTTGATAGCTTATCATTTCCAAAGGGCTTTGTTGTTTTATAGGTTCTCATCTGTTCTGTTTCTGTCTATAACGGATTTTGATAGAATTTCTGTGTTTACTTCAAGATATTGTTCTACAATTTATATATTTGCTATTGTTTTTGGTTCTGACCTATTTAATACTTCTTTAAAATGTTCTTTTTATATACTCCCTTTCAGATGTTATTAGTTGACCCTGTTTGTCTCTGACTTGTATGTTAGCTTTTTTTGTGAGCACACAGCTTCCTTGTGGTCTGATTAACATGACAAATTCTTCGCTCTGAAGCAGCCTTTGCAGCCTATATGATATAAAATTAATTTTAAATAGCCTAAAAATTCAGTTAGTTTACCATATTTTCTGATCAATTTGAAGTAGGTGAAATAAATTGTAATGATTGAATACCGTAAATCATCTTTTTTTCCTCCTGTACAGATATTTGTCCACCAATGACACTGAATTAACAGGAGTTTACGATTCAAAACTTAGAAACTACTACAAGATAAACTACAATGGTACACAGACTATTGTTACTTCTGGAGTCAACTTCAAGAAGCCATATTATGAATTCTGGAATAAATATCTGTATCAATATGAAGACATGCTATGCGATACGAGTACAAAGCTGGGTGTGTGTTTATATCAGCTATTGTTTTCTTTCACAATATATACTCTCTTTTTTACATGATATGATTTGTAATGGCAAAATCTATACAAATTTCCTTACATTTAACAGGGTTGTAATCCTTGTTGTGTATAGAATTCAGGCAGTTAGTTGCATGTTATACGTGGTGTTGAATTTACAACTATCATTATTCATCCCCTGCATGAAATTGAGTAAAACTGGAGAGTATTTTATAACTTTCAATTTATTTTTCTATTTCCTTAGTGTCTCAGAGGTCTAGAATATCAAGTTAGAGTTAATGATAATAAAAATGACATTTTTTGGTTTGGTTGTGCGGTTGAAAATGTGATTTCGTATTAAACGATTGGTCTCAAAACTTACACGGTAGAAACTACCTGTATCTTTTGTTAAAAGCAGACAGATAACATCACGCACGGTTGTAAAGAGTGTGTCAGAAAGTCAGAATGTATATCATTTTTCTTTCTCCTTATTAAAATATCTTGAAATGACCGAAGTTTTGTTTAACATTTAAAAAAAAAGACGGGTGACACGGTGTAATGTAATTTTTTTATTGTATAAAGTGTAACAAGTTGCATGATCTTTTAATATCATTCATATTCACAAACGGTCTATGGTGTAGCACTGCCATTAAGAGCTACATTGTCAAAATTTAATTTCCCAAACATAACCCTTAAATTTTAGTTTTGAAATTGCACGTTCATATATTATTAATTAATTTTTTTTGTTTAGTAGTATATATTTTTATGGATAATTAAAACGGCAATCATACCACATCTCCTTATTTTCATATAAAGATTGCCAAAGGCAAATATACAGACTTTCTGTAAAAAACACAAAATAAACAGTATAATTAAAGGCAACAGTAGTATACCGCTGTTCAATAGGCATAATTCGATTCAGAAAAAACAAATCCGGGTAACAAACTAAAACCGAAGGAAACACATCCATTAAGAGGAAAACAACGGAACAATAGAAACACTGAACTACAACAAAAGCAAACGCCAACATACATAGAAACGGACTGCGTGATAACAAATGCCATATTCCTGACTTGGTACAGGACATTTTAAGAAAAAATTGATAAAGGTCGGATGAACTATGTGAAACGTTTGAAAAAATTTAGTTCATACGTTGATTGATTGATTGATTGATGTTTAATTCCACATTCATCACTGTTGTAATATTTCGTGGTGGTCAGTTTTTATTGGTGGAGGAAACCTGAGTGCCCGGAGAGAACCACCGACCTTCGGTCGGAAAACTAACAGTCCTAGTCAATTAAGATTGGAGTCGAGCGCGCCTGACACGTGCGGGAATCGAACTCACATCCTCAGTGTTGACAGGCTAACGATACAGTAGTTCTACTACTTTGACCACTCGGCCACCGATACCCATACATCGAAAGTATTATAGCTCAGATTGCCCGAAACTTTTATAAAAATCTTTTCCTCTGAAACTACTGGGCCAAATTCAACCAAACATGGCAACAATGATCATTTGGATATTAAGTTTCAAAAATATGTCAGATGACCCCACTTGCCAACCAAGATGGCCGACATGGCTAAAAAAAGAACATAGGGGGTAAAATGCAAGTTTTGTCTATTATTTTGAAAACAGATATCAATAGAGAAAATCTGACAGGGGCAAAAATGTTCAGAATGTTGAGCTCTACCAATTGTTGATATACGTCAAAACTGTCAGACGACTTTTTATAGAGGAGTTATTGCCCTTAAATGACAAATTTTACCATTTATTTTTTTCATTTTTGCCCATTATCTTGAAAACTATAATAGATAGAGATAAACCTTAAAATGCAAACATTATCAACAAGAGAAGTTCTACAAATAAGTCTAATTGTCGAAATCGTCAGTCGACTCCTTATAAGAGATATTGCCCTTTGATGAAGGTTTTTATCAATTTTTTGCGTGTTTTGCCTTATATCTTAAAAATTATAATAGATAGATAGAAACTTAAATAAGCAAAAATGATCAGCAAGACAAGATCTACAATTAATTTAAATTAGAAGACGTGGTATGAGTGCCAATGAGAGAACTCTTCATCCAAGTCACAATGTATAAAAAGTTAACAATTATAGGCCAAAGTACGGCCTTCAACACGGAGCCTTGGCTCACACCAAACAGCAAGCTATTAAGACACTATGGATGAAACCGTCTGACGACTCCTTATTGGAGTTATTGCCCTTTAATGACGATTTTTACTATTTTATTGCGTTTTGCCTTATATGTTAAACATTATAATAGATGAATAGACACTTTAAATCACAAAAATGATCAGCAAGGCAAGATCGACTAACAAGTCAAATTTCGCCGATATAGTTAGTAGACTGTCACTCTTTATAGGAGTGATTGCCCTTAAATGAGGATTTTTGTTACCCTCCATTGTGTTTTGAGTAAAAACTAAAAAAGATAATGGGACACTAAACAGACTTAATTATCAGCAATACATGAACAACAAAACAGATATTTTTGTCATGAATTCTATTCTCGTCTACAGTGTTGGAGAGTGTCCATTGTTGAGTATGCACATAGACCAAAGTGAGCGACACAGGCTCTTAAGAGCCTTTACTTATAATATCAGATAATCAGCATGATAATCTATTTTGTTTATGTCCTTTATGTATATAGCTTATAACGTGGCAACATATTTACGCATCCCTGTTATGGTTTGATTCTTCCTGATGCAGGTAAATCCGAAAAGCGCATCAGACGCATGCGGGTTTTTTTTTTCGTTTATGCCAAAACCCGTGTAGTCGATCACTTAAACATCAGATTGATATGTATTAGATAATATCATATGGCTTTTTCAATATCACATCCGTATCAACCTGAGACACCAATATAATCCCAAGAGCTCTGCTCGAGGGATTATATTGGTTGAGGGTTGATACGGTGTGTGATATTGAAAAAGCCATATCATGTACACTTTATTATATACATGTACCTCACGTAGATGTTTTTTATGTGACATGACGTCATACATATAAGGAGATTTGAAATGACGTCATACAGTTAGAGGTTTGAAATGACGTCATACAGGTCAGGGGTTTGATAAAGCCTTTGCAACAGTGACTGCAATCGATAACGTGACGTCATACAGATTAAAGGTGTGATAAAGCTTTTGCAACCGTGCTCATATCGATATCATCACGGGTGGCTGATACAGCACGCTTGCCAATGACTGTATTACACATACAATTTATCTGTATTTACTACTAAGTATATAATAAATCATTTTATTCGTTTAATTTGTTAAAAATTAGAGGCAAAAGTAGTTTACCGATGTTTATATCTCATAAATCCGTTTAAAAGATTAAAATCAAGGTGAAAAAGAACAAATGAGGAAATTGCATGCATTCCAAAAGGAACACGTTTGTGATATAGGATTGAATTACACTATACCTCTTCTATGTAATAAATCTTTTAATAATTGAAAATACAGGAATTACATATGAATGTGCAATACCCATAACTATAATCAATGACTTTGAAGGATGTCTTTTTATTATATAAATGTTATAAAATGTTTTATCAATATTTTTGTTTGAAAAAAAGATCAGATTTATTATAACAGTCGGAATGGCTTCAGATATACATATAAAGATAAGAAGATGTGGTATGATTGCCAATAAGACAACTCTCCACAAGAGACAAATGACACAGAAATTAACAA